ATTGATCCTACTATCTTCATTCTCTTCGTTTTACTATTCAAACGATCCCTTGCATATCATAAAACTCCACGCGAAAATCTTTAAAAATGCCAAAAGAAAGTATACCTAAAGATATTTCCTTCTGTTGGTTGCAAGTGAAAAGTGTAAAGAATTGTACAAAGATAAAGAATGGCAAGCAACTTTTCAATGTGCAAAAATTTCTAGCGTTACTGGAAATGAAAAAGTTCACCCAACGCGAATGTGCGCTGGGAAGATAATGACTTTGACCTGAGGGAAACGAAAAAGATTAACATTACATCTGAGATAAAAAGATTAACCTGTTAAAAAAAGATTTCTAACATGTTTTAAATTAACGGGTAGGGATAGGATAGAAATATCTCTGGCATACTGAAGGGTACTCACTTCAGAAGTTTCAAAAATACTCTTAATGGAAGCTCGAAAAGCCAAGTCAAGTGTACATAGTGAATGTTTTTAACCTGTTCCTTATTAACTCAAGTAAGCATCGGTTTTTACATGATAAGATTCGAGCATTGTGCACTCATCTCCCACATCTTCACCATGAATCGGACGAGAGGTTTGGAAAAGTTGACGTAAAGAAATCTCATTTGAGAAACGCGTGTATGGCTTAACGATAAAGTCGCCGCATATGTAAACTCACTAAGTAAGATAATTCTTTGTATACCTAATAAATAAACACTTAGGGAAGGCCAAGCATATCAGCGTTATCATTTCTAGAAAGAGGAATTAATATCTACAGTGATTGTTATAAATCACTGAACTGTTCCATTGCTTTCCAATTAAGAACTTCGCCATGCTGGTATTTCTCTTCCTGGGGATTGCATCCTCGTTGGCCAATCCGAGTAAGTAATTTTTTTAGAGTTCGGAAATTAATTTGGTTTACAGTTGTTGATGGTGATGGAAACATATTGAATTTGACGTCTTGCGGTTACCAAAAGGTCAGTGATGGCACGAGTGATACGGTTTCTGTGTATGAATTTCCCTGGCTTGTGCATGTGAAGCTATCAAAACTGGCTTACGACTACGAGTTTGCCGATAGATGTGTGGGTGTTTTAATTAATGACAGATATGTGTTGACCAACGCTTATTGTGGAGCCGAGGCGTAAGCACTAATTTCCGTTGATACCCATGAGCTTTAACGACTCGTATTACAGTATTACTGTTGTAATTGGTCAATACAAGACCAATGAGGGCGTGGGTTGCGATTCCCAAGCATGCACGTTTCCCAAATTAGTGGTGCACGTTGAGGAATATATCCGTGATGGTATCTCCCAGAATGGGCCCTACGACTTTGGCTTATTAAGACTTGAAGATAAGGTTACGTTTACTGGTAAAATACTATAAAGAACATCCAGGTCGTTTTACCGGTTACTTTTTAGATTTCATTCAACCCATCTGCTTGATGGGTAGCACCAGACAGAATCCTGATTCCGTAACCTTTTCCGGATGGGGGGCTTCAAACTCACAAGGAGTTGTAAAAAAACGTCTAGTTTTCAACGTAGTTTCCGATGACGTATGCTTCGATGCGGAATCTCATTTGAAAGGAAACGTTGAATTTGCTAAGTCCGATTTTGTGTGTGCGATGCCCTCAGAAGGCAACAAAGTAAGCGCATGCGTTGGAGAACGAGGCAGTCCTTTAATGTACAAATCGGAGAAAGGGCAATGGTACGTGGATGGTGTAGTCATACATGTACTCTTTTCAGCGGATAGTCTAGATACATGTACCTATAATAGGCCAGTAGATGGTATTAGAATTACTCCAAACGTGATTGAGTGGATTGTAGCTACCATCCGCCCTTAACTATACTATTTGACTAAAAGAAATTTAAGCAAATGACTGTTTGCATTGCCCCCAGTAAAAAAAACACCCAACCACTTGTTGGCTGAAACATGAAATATCTAACTGGCCAAATAATTTTTTCCACTGTCCTTAAAAATTTTAAATAACATCTCATAAATTTAGTCCCACTGATGTATTACACTTGACATGTTTGAACACTTTGTTAATTTTGCATAAAAAAATTTATTACTTATGAGATGTAAATATGTAATAGGTACCTAGGTAATAAAAGTGCAAATCGTGACAAAAAGTTATAATCAATAGGTACCTATCAAATTGTTCCTAATAAGCCACTCTAAATCGCCATATCTAATACATCTGTATTAGGCCAAGCTTCCATTAACTAATCGCCTTTTACGATATGCAGTAGGTTATGCTTTCCCACCCCTACATGGGTCATCACTCATCAGAGTAATGTCTTATTTCGAGCGATTAGAACAATTCATCATCAAAGAAACATGATTAAAGTTCTTCAAGTACTTCAAAATAAAGTGATCGGTTTTATTTTATTTTATTTTATTTCTACAAAATAAAATAAATCTTGCAGCAGTAGAAGTGCACAATTCATCCAAGATGAACAAACTCAGCTTGATAAAATGCGGTGCCTCATTGACGTTGAGTTGCATCAAGGAACAACTACCAAATGGATTCTACCAACTCGGTTAATCATAAAAAAAGCATCATTAACTTGAATTTGAAATGGAACACACCCTGAGAGACGGGTACAATAATCTGTACCTAGCAAAGTTGAGGATACCAAAGGTAGTATTTTAGAATGAAGGAATGAAATTAGCTTGTTCCAATAACTGATGATTGTGATTAAAGTTTACGAATGGAGTGCAGTAGATTCAAACATTTTATTAAAGAAATACTTACGAATTAATTTTGATTATTCTGACAGTACTTTTGAAGTCTGGTAAAAATTGCTTTCTTTGATATATCTATATCTGATTAAAGAAGGAAAGAAAAAATAGACGCAATCGTATAATTCGTGAAACGAGAACAATGTTTAAATTATTCACGTATTCAAATTGAAAAGTTCAATATTAAAAGACTATATGGTTAGTCGCCCATCCGGTCTACAAGTTTAATTAAATTTTCAACATGTAGTTTATTTTAATACGTATTTAAATAATTTTCAATTTAAATACGTCTATATAATTTAAACATTTCTTTAATATCATATCACCGAATAATTCCAGTTCCACTCCTTCCCCTCCACCCCCAAACCCCTCTTTTAAAAAGGAGTCAGAAAGTAGGGTGGTCATTGATAGAAATCAGTTCCTTTTGTTGAGACCTTTAATTGAAATACCATGAAAGACAAAATTAATTTCTACCCACTCCCTCCTCCCTCCGGCCACTTACTGATTTTGGAAAGGAGTCGCGCAGGGATGTTATAGTAGTGTAGTAACAAGTCTCTGGTTATAGTTTGTACATTCATTTCGGTGAGACCTTTCATTAGAATACCATGAAGGGTAGAACGTGTATTCACCTCCCCGCCACCCCTCACCTTCAAAAATTTTACCTGGCACCACTAAAGGCAGGCGTATGCTAATTCTGAGACCAGTTGGTTGTTGCATGTAAAAGTTATGCACGCTTTACATTCAAAAACAGCATCTCAGGACTCGAGGACCATTCCCTTAAAAATAGTTCAAAACCGCAGAACTGGGTCCGGACGGACGGACGGGCAAAACGCAAACAATAGCACTTTTCTTTACTTCTTAAAAAATACGCTAAATATAGCAAGTATGGTGAGGATTTGGTGTTATTAATTGTTCTACAATTGTCTTTCCTTGGCAGAAATCCTATTTAGAGTGTTAGAAATGTACAAACAGTTCCACCAGAAATCTGTATCAGGACAACCTCACGCCCTATCAATGTCAAATATTACGCCTTTCGCGCCCACTCGTACTGACACAACAAATCTTTCACAACAGCTGTTCTACTCTACAATCAGTAGGGGTTGCCATATATTTGCAATTGGTTAGTCGCCTCTTACGACACGCAGTATTCTCTGCGGTAGGGTTATTCTTTCCCGGTCCTATACGGCATCAAGTCTTTCGACAACAACTGTAGCTATGCACATTACCATTGAATAAGCAACTACTTACCTATTCAATTTACCTTTATATTACCATTGTTATTCTATGATATCAATTATGTGTGTCTTTACTCTTTATCATTCGTAACTGGCAACTTCAATGGCATCAGCAATCTGGTGGTAACTTTATATCTTACATAATTTAGTTACTCAATGATATAATAGTATTACCATTGAGTAATATTCACTCAACGGTATTACCGCGCATACAGTTATAAAATGTGCACTGTGATAGGCAACTTTACATGCTCCGTTTTGTCTAGCCTTAAAAGAACACGTTGTATAACCATTTCTGAATGCACCCACTCTTAATTTTGACGTTTTATTATTTGGCTTCTATAACCTCAAAATTTTAAAATGGACACCGAAATTAAGAAAATCATTTCGGGCAACTTGGATGTTGTGAGCGAGTCCCTAAATAACTTCATAGAACATGTAATTTGGTAGCTTCAGTGGTTTACCGATAATAACTTTGCCTTATAGAATGCAGCTGTATTCACATTCAAAGAACTTAACGGAGACCTCCGCAAGGATCTGTGGAGAGCTTTATTTACGTACATAAGTGACGACAGTAAATCACATTTACATATCTCAGCTCTAACAGCAGTACGAATCTTAAGGTGCGTCCCGGAAAAGTTGTAATGTAGAGTCTAAACGGATCTGTTTGCAGCCGTGAAAAGAACGGATTGGATCAGTTAGTCACAGCTGGAGATTTAGATTTGTTGCTAGAACGTGGAAATTTAAAGAGCGATCGGTACGATTGCAACGACCACTCTGTAATTGTAGAATCACTGAAGTGTCTATGCAATATTATTTATCAAAGTCGTATCGCTGCCACTATTTCCAGTACAAATGGAAGCCTCGAAGGTATCATGAACCGTTCTAAAAAGTACAAGTGAGTAAATTTTGGTAGAAACCCACAGCTTTAGTGCAATTCTAGGCATTTACCCAATGATGTGAAAACATTCGACATGAAACTGCTATTTCTGATTACCGCGTTATGCAGAAACACTCGTCCTACAGTTAAAGAGGACCTTCACGGATTGACGTATTTGATCGAAATCTTGGAGGATATTGCAGAGGGCGAGTCCCACAACTCTGATGTTAACATGTTATCAGTAAGGCTCTACTCTATCAATCGGGCATGTCCCAGTTAAGCTTACCTGATAGATAGCCTAGAGATACACAATCACGGCTTGTGCATCTTTCAATCGACAAATTTTGAAATTTTCAACCTTGAAATTATTTCTTATATCTTCATAATATGGCAAATCGTTTTGGTTTGTGAAAGGATCCAGAATCACAAGTTTCAATAATCATTCGACTTGAACACAAACTGAACTCCAATTGAGTGCAGATTTTAAGCACGTTCCATTTGAAATGACGGTGTAGGCATTGAATAAGCACTTAGATTAAATTGTCGGTGGCTGTAATGGCCGCTTTATATTTGAATAGGGCTACTTTTTATGAAAAAGGTCTTTAAGTGAAAGGTTTATAAAATAGCGAAATTTTTCTTATAGGATCAAGGTACTGATTTGGCTTGCGAAACACTAAAAGTACTCTTCAATTTATCAATCCAAGCAGACTCTTGGTCTAGCGTTGACGAAGAAGACGAAATTCGTTACGTCAAACTCGTAGGCATCCTACACAAGTTGTTAATTATCCAAACCGAAAGTGCAGATAAGCGACTGGAGCTCCACAGCCAGGTTGTGAATTTGCTAACGAATATGCCGGCTACATGTTATTCGGCGCTTTTTATGCCAGCCGAAGACAATGTGGCGAAGGATTTGCAATACGAAGAACAAAATATGAACGCGGTCATGGAGCTGTGTAATTTTCTAGAGTTGCGTTTTAGAAATGAAGTGGTAATTGTGTAAGGGTTGAATTTTATTCGTTATTGACGATGCAATTGTAGACCATACAAAATCAGCAAGAGCTTCTGTCCCCAGTACTGATCGTCCTGTTAAAGGCTGTCAAGAGCTCGAGGATAATTCGTAGATATTTACGGTTGAAGATTTTACCTCCTCTGAAAGATGTGCACAATCGACCCGAACAAGGAGGGACAGTGAGGAACAGTTTATGTCGTTTACTCACGACGCCAATTACGAATGTTCGCGATATTGTGGCCGATTTTCTATTTGTGTTGTGCAAGGAAAACGGTAAGTAACTAAATTTCTCGCAGCAATTACCATCTGCAATTTTAGTGGGACGAATGATTAAGTACACGGGCTATGGCAATGCAGCCGGGTTGTTTGCGCAACGAGGTCTGCTAGGAGGAGGAAAACCAACTGAGGGACGTTACAGTTCCGACAGTGAAGATAGTGATACTGAGGAATACAGAGAGTATAAGCACGGGATTAATCCCGTCACCGGTTGTTATGATCCTCCACGGCCCAGTCCAACAGCGAATATGACCGAAGAACAGGTACCTATTGATCTTTCAAATGAAACAAATTAATTAGTGAACTTTTAGAAGGAGTACGAGGCGATGCAGCTCGTTAACCTAATGGATAATTTGACACGTCAGGGGATTGTTCAACCATGTAGAATAGGGGAAGATGGTAGACCACAGCCGATTGAACATGTTTTACAATTACAAGAATCATTGCTTAATGATCAACCCACAAATATTCATGATAGTAAATAAGTTGTTCTCATGTTTCCATACAATATTTATCTGTGTTATTTAATGTTATTTATCTGTAACAATATAAAATAAATAAATGTATCCTATTGTCTTTTTTCGTCGTGGTAGTGAGTCTTATTTATGAGTGAATTTAGAGCTTATTCAATTTAAAAGATGTTTCATTGTTTGATTAATTTCAGAATACTTATGTATAATTTAATTGATTAAATGAAAACAAGGTGGCAAAGCCTTGGCTGAAACCCCGCCCACTTAAAAATATCAAAATTAGTTTTATACCGTTTTTCTGTTAACTACCTATCGATTAATTATTTTTCTGACCAACCGTGTATAAATTAGACGTAAAATTGTATGCCATACCCAAAAAAATTTTAAAAAAAAGGTGTAGCGTTTAAATTTTGAAATTTCTAGATAATCGTTTCCGGTTAGACCGGATACCCACCAAAACTTTATATCCATATCGCCAATTCTACATAAGTTACAGAGGTTTGAATATATGTATTATTAAATTATATTTTGTGTACATTAAAAGAAAACTCTGCAATGCTACTCAAAAATCATATACTTCCAAATGTACAATTTTTATAAATAAAACATTAAATTAACAATTGTTTATATAGATGCGGCAACCTTAGGTGGTTCAGGCCTAACTGCAAAATCTTCCAAATCTCGCCCATGATAAATACCGTATATATACGGCTTCAACTCCCACGGAATTTGATTTTCCATCGGCATAAGATTAACACATAAATCCTCTAAGGTAGGAACTCCCCTTTCTACAGTATCAGTAATGCATTCTCTCTCCACCCTTTCCCAATGCAAGTGGCCGACTGGCCAACTGGGACACAGTTTTTGTGTTAAGGTGACTTTTAATTTGAAAATGGGGTCGTACTTCATGTCGTATCGATAATAACCCCACTCCTTGTCCTTTCTCATGACTCGATAGAACCAGTCGACTAACTCGGACAGTAGGTAACGCTTGGGGCTGCCAATGAATACAATAATCATAGTGAAGTGGTGTGTAGGCCACTTACCCAACTGCTTGGTAAATTTTACCTGCCGAATCTGGGTCCTTAATTGCATTTACAATTCCGGCAGCCAGGTCACTTACAAATAAGGGCTGCTTAATGGTTTTTTCCCCATTTTCCCAAAGGGGCATATAATGAACCTGACGTCTCCAATTATGTATGTAATACCTAGAATAAGGATCCAATTTAAAAAACCGGATTCTTACGACAAACAAATCACGAATAAGAACAAAGTAATGTGCACCTTAAGAAACGATCCTCTTGCCCGTAGACATCCGAAGGTCTAATTATTGTAGCGCAGGGAAATGCTTCTAGCACTGCCTTTTCACCTCTCCATTTACTAGCTAAAAATTTCGAACCTCCCTCTAAAACGTGAGCTTTGGGCTTCTCGCTCACATTCAATGAAGAGACATGAATAAGCCGTTTAACTCCCGCCCTTTGAGCAGCTTCGGCTATTTTTCGTGCACCTTTCACATGCACGTCCTCGAATGAGAAGTTTCTGGTCTCCCAGTCTCGTCCAACCAAGTTTATTACAACATTTGAGTAGCGAACTGCTTTGTCTAAACTTTCCTCGTCAAATAAATGATAGGGCTGGAACAAAACCTGACCGAGATCGCCGACCAACTTCAATCTTTGCATGGGATAAAAATCGCCTCGGTACGGTAAGATTAGCTGTAAAGTTCTCTGTGTATCCACCATCGTTTCGTTGCACTCATACCTGTGTGCCGATCTTACCCAGTCGATTACAAACGTATCGGCCTATGAAACCCGAGGCACCGAAGACTGTAGCGACGATTCCATTGAAACTGGAACGTCCGCCTGTTCCTCTCTTTAAGGACGCTAGATTATAGGGGTTGAAATCGGAGTAATTGGCAGTACGGATGTACGCTATACTAATAATTCCAGTATGTTTTTCTGCAATACAGTTTTGAGGTTAAGTTACATAATAACAAACTTATGTCTGAGTTAATTGCTTTACAAGTACAGAAACGTGTAGGCCTCGTCTACGAATGGGATTACTTACTCAGAACGTTTGCCCCACTATGTAAAACGAGAGCCATTCTTTAATTTATAAAATTACAACCAAAATTAGAACAGGGTAAACGCCATTTTGATTGATCTCGATTCCTGTCTGTCAAGTCAGTGGCGGCTCTTACGTAGGGTGAAACTGGGATTCTTAGTACTAAAGCGAAGAGCCGAAGACTTGACTTTCAAAGATCGACTTTCAAAGGCTTAAAAACTAAATCTCCATTAAAGGTTTGAACACCCTATTCAAATGGAAGACCCTTAAACGCTCACAAATACTAAGGAATAGGTACATAAGGCTCGGCTCTTTGTTGTGTTAAAAAGATATGGCCGTATGCACCCAGTGGCGGATTTTCCATAAGGCACAGTAGGCCCGGGCCTAGGGCGGCCAGGGATTAGGGGCGGCCAATCGTCACTGATGATAACAAAAAATAACTCAAACTCAGAGTACGTACCTGAATATTCTAAAGTGAAAAGTCGTTGCTCACTGCAAGAGTCTATTATAGCAGTTAGCAGCTGTTATAGTTAAGAGTTAACTAAATTACAATTTCTGAATCAATTTAAAAGTTGGCAATAAAGTAAATTCATTATTGTAGTCTATATGATTTGTACTAAGACAGGGGCGGGTACGTGGCCTGGGGCCTAGGGCGGCCAAGACTGCAAATCCGCCACTGTATGCACCGTAAAAATTTAAGCTGAGCCAAAGAGTAACTAATAATTAGTAAGTATTCTTTGGCTGAGCTTAGCATGATTCAAGCTTAGCTTAAAATCATTGGCAACCATTGTCCCAATATACGTTACCATGGATATTAAGCTACATTTAAACTAAGCCCGCTTAAGCTGGATTCACATGAATACGAAATCCGACGATACGGTCATCCGAAATGCTTATGATTGGTCAATAATTTGAAATGTGCTTGAGATTTCAAACTATTGACCAATCATAAGCATTTCGGATGACCGTATCGTCGGATTTCGTATTTATGTGAATCCAGCTTTAAACTCTTTCGGTGAATACCTTAAGGTTAGTCGTCATTTCGTCAATAATTTGTTATTTAATAAAACGTCAAATAGCGACGTTTTGTTGTAAGTAAGTAATATACATAACATGGTGGCAGCGGTAATTAAGCGGTGGTAAATAAGTAATCCATATCAAGAAATTCACGTAAACGTATTGGGGGCAGGTTTTCAGGTGTATCACTATACCTGTGTTTGAAAACACCTCTACTACCGAGTTTACATATTCAAGGCCGTTAATTAATGAAGAGATTGTACATGGGCGAATTAGAGATTTTTGCTGTACTAGGGCAATAAGAATTTGCCGTATTTTCACACAAAGTACAAATAATATTATTGTTTTACCCTACCTAAAAATATATTTTTATTTATCTACTTTTTTAAAATAACATTTTCTTGGCAAAAAAATAATGCATTCAAAATTTTAACTAGCAAACAACATCTTTTGAATCATTACAATGCAATAAATTTTTTTCTAGCTTTTTTTTTCTTGAAACTCTTGCAGTACTAACTTAAAATCTAATTTATTACACAACTCAGCTTCAATATATAAGATACCATTGAGATATGCTAGATCGTAAGTAAGTCAAAATTCGTTTTAATGCGTAGAAAGATCTTTTCTACTGTAGACCAGTTTGTTCAAAAAGTGCACAAAAACATTCTAGCGGCAATATCTAAGCAAGGAAAAACTTGTACTTGTACAAATATGCTGTGACCCACCGTCAATCCCTATATCATTTGTTACTAGAAATACGAATCACTATTCACTGATCGAACGAATGAAAAACGCTTAAAAAAAAATTGAAGCGTTGAGGCGAACTTTAGTATCATCACTGCATCATATTATATACCTGGTGAATTTTTTTTCATTTTAAACATTAGGATCTCGGAAACTGTAAGACATACAGATTCGGTTAAATGAGGAAAGAGTTGTCGTTTTAAGAGCTTATTTAAAATATGCTTTTGTTTTTTGAAAAAAATCCACAGTTTACTAGATATGAGCGAAAAACAGATTAAGTGATTTTTTAAATGGCAACCATAGTTGACTGTGACATTTTTTAAAAGTCAATTTTTTTCTGTTTACAGTGATACAAGGTTCGTTGTACTTACTTTCACAAATATACATGATACAGAACTGTTTGTATTATTAAGAGTAGGAAAAACAGAGTTTGCCATGGGAAACATTTTCGTTCCCTTAATTACTCAGTCTATTATAATATTTAACTTAAAACTTTAGGGCCACAAATAGAACAACAACAAAAAGAAAGTACGAAATATTACATTTAAATTTTTACTTTGAAGTAATTACAAGTAAAAAAGAAATTCATCTCGGCAAATGTTAAAAGTATGTCCATCATTAATATTGTAACGGAAATGCTCCAGACATGACGTCGCCTTTGTTTTAGTTTTGTTTAATAAATATTGATATAAATCGAACCCGAATTTATAAAAATAACGTTACAATATTTACACGCAAGCGGAATCTTTTCGCGATAGAATTTACAGCTTTCCGGGTTACCCTACCATATAAAGTTGGGGTTGGGTTGTTTAGGTAATGAAAATCTGTTGCCTAATAAGTAATAATTAGACTAGAATAGTATATTAAGATACAAGTGTATAATCAAGTCGTTAAAGCACGCGCAACGAGTTTAAGGGCACGACGCAAAGCGGAGTGCCTTTAACGTTGCAAGTGCTTTAAAGACCAATTATACACGTGTATCTTATAGTATTTTTTATTATACCTGCAGTATAATTTAAAAATAGGAAATACAATGAAGTCATATTGACGTTATACTCGAATACATGTCTAATTAAGTGGGCTGGGTGTTCGTAATTTCACGATTGCCATGGAAATGTCACTTGACGTTTGCTTATAAAAATCATCGTCTTTGTGAATTAAACGATTTCTGTTGAAAAAGATAATACACTGCCCATTCAATCGATTGTTGTAAAATCTAAACAAACGTTGGTAGGTGTAAAATCCAACTCCAGTAAAGCTTATTATAAAGAATATGAAAAGTTGTTTCCATTGATGAATAGGAAGTTACTTACGAATACAGTCTTAAATGCATCCATAATGCTGGCATATATGAAGGAAATGTCAAAGGTATTTAAATCTTCTATATTTTGGTGCATTCATTCAAAACTTTAAAGCAATGCTGCGACTAAAAAGTGGAACAGATTTGGAAGCATACCCTAAATTACGCGCGTTTGTGAAAGCTTCAACCAAAGGATAGGTACAAAAGCCAAAGAAATGTTCTGCATTTACAGAAAGCGACCTAAGAGGATTTTTTATTTCATCCAGATGACAGTTTCAAAAGTCATACTTGAAGTATCGTTACTTAGCAACTTTAAAGCACGTGTGTTTTAAAGGCCCTTTTTCGCACGCATTTGAGTGTTTAAAACGGAGATTGTGATTCAGGTATAATAAAAAAAACTGTTAACTAATAAAAATGCGACACTGAAGGTGTTTTTAAGAATTAAAAAAAATATGCTATTGTTTGCGTTTTGTCCGTCCGTCCGGACCCACTTCTGCGGTTTTGAACTACTTTTAGGGGAATGGTCATAGGGTCCTGGAATTTTTTATATGTAGCCTCCAGGGGCGGGGGGGGGCCCAAAATTATTTCCTGAGATGCTGTTTTTGACCCTAAAACGCGCATAACTTTTACATGCGACAACCTAAGAAATTGCATACGCATGCTGCAATTGGTGGTACCAAATAAATATTTTGAAAAGGGAGAGAGGCGGAAGTGAACACACGTTTTACGCTTCATGGTATTATAAAGAAAGGTCTCACTGAAATGAATTCGTTTGTACAAACTATAACTGTCTTGCGCGATTCCTTTCCGGTATCAGTAGCTGGCCGGGAGGAAGAGGAAGGGGGTCGAAATTAATTTTATCTTTCATGGTATTCGATTCGAATTAAAGGTCTCAACGAACTGTTTTCTACCAACTACCTCCCTGCTTTCTCACTCCTTATCAAAAGAGGGGATTTGGGGGAACTGGTTTTATTCTTCATAGTACTCTAATGAAAGGTCTCAACGGTAGGAATTAATTTCTGACAACCATAGCCTCCTCCTCGACTCCTTATCGTGGTCGGCTATAAATCATTCCTTATATCTCAAGAACAGTCTATATCGGACTATCGGAGGATGGTACTCACAAAGGACGATTGGGAGGGACGTTTGGAAGAAATATAATGTATTGGCAATGTCAAAACTTAACGAGTGAATATCCCCATTAATCATTAAACAAGAAAGAAAACATCGATGAATATATCATGCTAACTTACCGTATAACACAACCTTTTACCAAAGAGTGGGTACTCTTTGCTTTTACTATAAGCATAGTGTAAGCTTTACACTAAGATGGAGGTTGTCTCACTATTCTATTCTTTACACTAAGCTATAAGCCATTTCAGTTTTAAAACATGCGCTTTATCTGTACAAGAGTTGTACACAATTTATACTTTTTTTATATTTTGATGAGCTAGGGAAGACCGACGCGTGCCTTGTGCAGATCTTGCGTAAGCATTTCCATTACTTATACATGTTATGCATTAGACATTTTGACGTTACTCTTAATTAAATTACATCACAATCGGTACCTGCACCACGCACAGCTGGCATAAAGTGAATAAGGGATGCTTTTGATTAGCGGACTCTTACCGCATGCAGTACGCCTCTGCAGTGGAAATATTCTTTCTCCGTTCCCACACAGGGTTGACGATCAAAATACAAAAATGTTAAAGAAAAAATGAGAGGATAAAACGACTCCCTAATGTGGCTTTATACAAAAGGTGGACTTGTGTACGGGGAATATCGGGGTTTATAAAAAAATGATTTTTTGAAATTATGTGATTCCGTAAGTAACAAAGACAAATGAGACTTCTTCTTGAAAATCTTCACCACATTAATTTCATACTTTCATATATAAGTCAGCACCTTATTAAATTAATGTGGTGAAGATTTGGAGTTTCATTTCTCTTTGTTACTTAAGAAGATACCACATAAGAGTAAGGATCGTCATGAATTACAATTTTACGTGATTCCAATTGACACATCAAAATATTCCGTTTTCCCGTTTCCTAATTTTAACTGCATATAGCAATATTCAATGGCGGGGGTTGTAACTTTGTTGCACATCAAACAGTTTTGTTTTTGATAGAATATCAAAGCAATCAATTGATAAATATGAGAATAAAATCTCTTGCCTCTTTGAAATTTAGTAAGAAAACCTATGTGCAAGTACATTGTCATATTCAATTGTAGGGGTAGTAACTTTTATTGTACATAAAACATTTGTGTCTTTAGATGGGTAATGGATCTTTACAAGTAGCACTGTAATTGCTTATATTCTCGTTTCGAAGCTGAGCTAAGCAATATAGCAGTACTTAAGTGCAGGGTGGTAACGTTCATTATGCATTAAACATGCGTGTTACATTAATAAATTATGCATAATTAATTGATCTACAAGCAAACCTCTATCAACTGCCACACAAAAATAAAATCCCCTCACGTTTTGAAATTTCGTAATTTTAAGAAAATTCTCTTTTACCCACACAGCAATATTGAATTGCAGGGGTTGTAACATTACACGGCACAAACAAATATAGACTTAGTGCTGTCTATGTGCTTTTCGCTAATTCTAATTCCCTTTCCCTCTTCACAAGTGAGAAAATGTTAATAATCAGATACCTACAGTACAGATAATAGCTATTCACTTGGACGTATATTAAGAAGAGCCTTGGTGTAGGTTTTCTATGTACTAATGTACTTAAAGTTGCAACTACTCGTCCGATTCCGAAAAAGTTACAAGTGTCAGTAGGAAGCTTGTTACTCCGAGGGCGTGCTTCAGGCACCTACAGTATATTTCTACATAGGAAAAATAGTTACCACAATTCGTTAAGCCGCTTGTGAGCAAGAGGCGAAGAGTGCACTTTCAAATTTGTTTGTTCGATATTAATAGCCCTTATGGACATTTCATGCCTTAACGTGAATACAAACATGAAATAATTTTTAATTTCTGATCGAATGACACCAGTACCAAGTCTGTAAGTGGTGTAGTTCCGGAGCCTTTGTGACTCAGACAGACAGACATACAGACAGACGGACATCAAAGGTGAAAAATTGCACTTTTTATTTTTTTTAAGTGAAAGTGCACTAAACATTCACTAATAAGTTGATCAGTAAATATAAGTAATGAGAGAATTATCCGAAACTGCCAAGTTGACAAGATAACACTTGATAAGACGGATATTTCAAGTAAAATTCAATGTCAACGTGTAGGTCGTAGAGAGATTTTTATAGAAAAAAAAATGGAACTACGCTGCTGACTTTCTGATCGTAAACCACCTCTTTTTATATTAATCCCGGTTCAAGCGCAAGCGTATAGTCAACGCGTTCACGGCAACCATATTTAGTGAAGTGACAGGAAACCGTCGGTTTACGTAAACTTGTAGTTAAATGATGGATTAAGTGCATTTACTCGAACTATTCATTTGAAGTTTAAGCAAAGTAAATATTTGGGTCGAGTTTGAGACGCCGCCGCCGCCGTTTAATCTTACCATTGCAGATAATTGCGATAATCTCATTGGTTACGAAATTAACTATTATACGTGACGTAATAATGAGTAGCGACACCAGAAGAGAGCGCGCGAACAACTTTACCGAGAACGAAAAGGATTGGTTAATTAAAATTGTCATCGAGAATTTTTTCGATATAATTGAATCGAAAAAGACGGACGGGGCGACGATCAAGGAGAAAAATGAAGCGTGGTATTCGGTTTCTCAAATGTTTAACGAATCGAAGCACTGTATTGTACCCCGAAATGTTCTGCAGCTTCGAAATGCCTATCATAACATGAAAAAGAGGTTGAAGAAGGAATTTGTAACTGAGGACGATAAGGTGAGATCAGATCCTGCACAAAATTTAAACTCTTAATTTCGCGCTTCAAAAGAGCAAGCGCTTGAATTTAATTCAAATTTTTCAATTACCTACAACTTACCAGACAAAGACATATGCATTACATATTAAAATTTGTTAAAGTAGGTATAGGTACACTTAGTTATAATTTCAAAAAGCTTAATTCCAGAAATTATTCTCATTATGTACAAATTATACCTACAATGACTTTTCACTATTCATCTACAATCAAACATTTTATTTATGCCACAAATGCAAGGACAAGTATACTTTAAAATTTTCAAAAAATGCCCTTTCTAATGTTTAATTTTCAATTTTAGAACCGTTACATATCAAATCTCTCTAGAGTGAGTAATATAAAAGGCAAATTCATCAACATGCTTTATCTGAACCCGGAAATATCCGTGAAAAACGAATTTTCCTACAACACCTTCAAAGGTCTACTTTAAGCTTTATGGAATATTAAATCCTAATCGCTTAAATTGTAGATTCCACGGTAATGGACTTTGTGGTGGAGCCCTCCGACGCGAAAGAGTTGGAAAACCAATCTGTACTCATCTTGGATCCATTTCTTCCGATCGGCAGTTCATCATACAATGTGCAACAGGCAAGCGTGAACGAGGGTAGTCAGGCATTGAGCGAATCCAATTCGACGCAGAACGCCGCGTTTTCGAAGAGGAGAAAATTGTGCGAGACGTATAGAAACGCGGAGAGAGTTCGTTTGAGTAAGAGGTGGCAACTTAAATTGGAAATTTTAAAGGTGAAGAAGTACAGGGAGGATGAAAAGTTGGAAGTGGACAAGTTGCGGAAGTTACAAGAGGAGGAAAAACTCAAACAGGAGCAGCTGCAAACTGAACTGTTGCGGATGCAGTTAAACAAATTGCAAAGTGAAGAAAATCAGTAATTTTCGCGAAAGTACCTTATTGTTTCAAAGATTGTACATATTAATCACTTCAGTAAAGGTTTTCGTTATGTTCTACTCTTCTTTTTCACTAGAATTTTTTTACGATAAAAACACTGGGGTTAAAACGGCAGATGAATTGATTGAATGCTCCAACTACAATTCTTGGTTGGGTCGCAATAATGCCATACACCCATCTAGGTAATTCGTAATTTGTACAACTAGAGAAGGAAGTGGAGTTTTCACCTCGACTTCAAAGTTAGACACATGAGAGTGCACTGAACTATAAGGGAAATTTTATCATGTAGGTATTTTACCATTGAATCATTCGACGATTTTACGCATCCGCAGTGTTCACGTTTTTTGAGCGGCTAAACACGAGATGAGGACCCCAAAGCGCCACGAACCTTATCGTCTCTCAGGAAAACATTAGCAAGGCGCCAGGTCTCTGAAGTCTGAAGACAAAAATGGATGATTTAATGTGACGAGACGAGAGGAGATAAAAATGAGCTCCTGTCGAGTCACCTTTGTAATTTTTACATGGGAAATCGTACTTAACTTGAACTTCCAAAGGCCACTCGACCGCCACTCATTTTTAGTCACCCGTTATCCCACAGCTGACCCGTCCGTAAGCTTATGTCTGAGAGCTGGTAGAAATTTTTGGGTAGGTATTTGAGACACGCTGAATCTCCAATAATACCCTAACACAGAATTTCAGACCTGGGTGAGGAATAGCGGGGCTAAATCAACCCTTATATTTTTAAATATACGAATTTTTTTTCAAAAAATGTTATTGAGGCATATCGAAATTTTTACACCTTTAAATTTAATATTTAAAGAGCGAAAAAATGAATAAGTCACATCATTTAGTGGAGCCTTACACTTTGCCTGGCGCCTTCAAAGTTTGAAAGAATTAATACTGGCCGTCATATGCCTCACTTTTGATGAAAGTCTCAGGATAAATTGTCTTTATTTCGCAATAAGAAACGATGAAAATTTCAACATAACACAATTACAACAAATTCAAACGACACTAATAATGTGTTGATCTTCCTCACAATTATTTCTTATGTATTCAGATATTCGACGGGGCATACTTGAAATTAAGGAATCGATGCTAGCTTTGGTATACTCTCCCAAGATTCTAAAAGACGCCTTTGAAGATCGTCTAAACTGTTTCCAGGTAAATCATTTAACCATCAACCCATCATATCCTACCCGTGTTCAATTGGTGGTAGATGCCACTGAACACCAAACCGTCGCTTTCTGGCTTATTCGTATTACATTCATTCGTATCAAGTTGAAATTTTTAGCGTTTATTATTTCGAAATAAATGTGCAAACAAATATAGCAAACGAGCTCCTGAGTATGGCTATAGCATGGTATTCGTATTATATGGCCAAAGTTATACTGAATACGGGTCATAACTAACGGAGATGTCAAAAGGGCCTTTCTTATTTTATATATATCGCAAAATTATGAGCAAAATTGATCAAAGTACGCTGGGTGTTCATGCATAATTATATGGCGGCCAGAATACATTCATTCAAACTTTGAAGGCGCCTGGCAAAGTGTAAAGTCCCACTAAATGATCGGGCTTATTGACGTTTTCGTTCTTTAAAGGTAATAAAAATTTCGAAATGCCTCAAGAACATTTTTTGGAAAAAAAATTCGTATCTTTAAAAATATAAGGGTTGATTTAGCCCCGCTATTCCTCAGCCATGTCCGCAATTCTATATTTGGGCATAATTGGAGAATACTTACCTACCCAAAAGTTTCTACCAACTCTCCTACTATATCAGTCCGTAAACTCGTCAGCCATTTTGAAGCCCACTGACAATTAACGCTTGCAAAACGTTACATGCCTGCATGTAGGTATTACCTTACCATTTAAAGAACAACTGTTGATTTTTTAACGTTTATTAATGCAGAAAGGTAAAGTGCACTCTCACTTTCAAAAAAATAAAAAGTGCAGTTTACGCTCCTTATATGTCTGTCTGTCGGTCCGTCTGTCTGTCTGTCACAAAGGTTCCGGAACTACACCACTTACAGACCTGGTATTGGTGTCATATTCGATCAGAAATAAAAAATTATTTCATGTTTGGGTCATGATGTGTCCATAAGAGCTTTTAAAATCGCAAAAACAAATTTGAATGTGCACTCTTCGCCTCTTGCTCACAAGCGACTAAACGATTTTTTTATTGCATGTGGTGCATTAAAATCATTTTTATTATATTACTTGTGCGAGAATGGGTAAACCGTGTTTAATTGTTGCGGTTTTGCTATAAAAAGGTAGGCACTTTTGCATTTGAAATTTGTTAAGGTCCATTAATGAGAAGCGTCGACTCAAGAAAAGTCTAACTTTAGCAGTGATTCATGGTAACTCTCTCCTTTAAGAATATCTAAAAAATGGTTTCCAATTCCAAGTGAGCATAAGTAAAAAAAATTGCACTTTGCACGTTAAAAAATTGCAGGTCAATTGACTTTTTGCGAGATGTGAATAGGCGACTAATAAGGTAAGAATAAAACGAAATATTTTTGGTAGTGAATATTTATTGTTAGCACAAAAATGTCAGAGACGACTAACTGAATGTACCCACAGAATAAATTAAATTCTTCCCATTGATATTGCTTGGGCACATTAGTTCATTTCCCTCACAATCCAGTCCAGTGATCCAAGACTTGCTATGTATCTAATCCCAAAAATTGATCGCCATTAATTTTCCAGACAAAGACTGTGTTTTTGCCTTTCTTGGGAAAGAAGCCCACTGCATGCATTTCTGTTGTATGGTCCGGCATAAGTTTCGGGAAAAACCATCGAGCATACAGGTTTTTCATACCCATCAGACAGTAATTTTCAATCGTCAATAACTCGGCAGTAAATCTTCTACAAGAAGTCCTATGGTTTCCTCAGCCTCAACCGATCTTCCCGCGATTTTATGTCGTCCTGAATCGAGTCTAGACCCTATCGAAATTGTTTCAACCAATGATTCACTTATAAACAAGATGGTCCGTTAGTACCGTACACCGGATTTTTTCTCCATTATCATAGCTATATAGATAGAAAAGAGAGAGAAACTTTATTTACTAAATAAATACCTGAATGACGCACTTTACATTTTTTCTAGAATCTGCCGAGGCCATATTCTTTAAATCGATTTACGGGACGTTTTGTCACTGTACCACGAAAAGAAATTAATCTTTTAGCTAAAAATTTAATATTTTTGGAGTAAAAAACCATAATTTCTGTGGTGCAAAAATTATATAAACGTCCTGTACATGTGAAATGAAATAATTTGAGATTTAACCTAGTCCTTGAAGAAAAATGGTAATTACAAAGTAGTGATTAGTAAATTCAATTTTATCAATTGCACATAGCTAGATAACGCACATTTTGTAAGTATAGAAAACATCAACAACGTTGTGAAGGTACAACAGCTGTAGCTAAATTTGAGGTAAGTGTTACTTTTTGTTGTAACCTACAGTACTTTACTTGCATCCCTCAATAGCTTTATTCTTCAGGAAAATTCTTTTGAAAGTGGTAATATATTAGCTGATACAATCACCTAGCCGAGAATCCCTTAATTTCGTGCAAAATAATCCCCTGTCTGAAAACCAAGTCACCCACTCAATGGTAGATCAATAATCGATCATTTTCATTGGTTCGGAAACTTTCAGGACTGCAGAATTCTGTAAACTCAGGTTATTTTTTCCAAGTTGCGCTTAATTTGCAACGTTGCATAAGTAACTTAATACGACCGATTTCTAGCGTGTAATTCAAAACCAAAACCCAACAATGAGACTACAGACCGTGTTTTCGGTTATTTAAAATAACGCGATAGATATTTCTATAACACGTGTTAATGCGACAGGTGTTAAAAAAACCTTTAGTTTCGGCGCGTTCTTTTGAAGCTGGCGTTATCAAGTCTAATTATGATTGGCGGTTTTTTAAAGAACTTGCGGAAGGAGATTATGTTATTGTAGATGACGACAAATATTGGAATCAACGTAAAACTAGGCTCTCTAGCCCAATAAAAAAAAACAGTACTCATTTGCAAAACAATGGCGCGCAAATTAGTGTCAAAGTCAAAGTCTTTTATATGCATACTCATCCATCATAAATATTTCACAAAAAAATTCTTACCACTTTCATTAACAAACTGTAAACTAAAAACACTAACCGAAAATGCTTGCCGTTCAACGCTTATAAATATGAAATTCATTAGCGCGCACTCCGAACTGCGACGACGGACGCGAACAGCGAACGCCCACGTTTGAACGACCAGATTATTAGGACTATTAAAAAAAAACTATGTAATTTTAAGATTTTCTTATTTTATTTGTTGAACTCTGCGTGCGGGGTGATTTCTCCACACAAGCTTTTCTTCCTTTCAGGAATTTTGTTTTAATTTTTTATTTCATGTGTTTCGAAATAAATTCTCATCATTCCCAATCATGTGTTTATTCGAACCTTTTCTGCAACCCGGCTAGAGATTCAGATTTCTCCCAACTCTGAAACAGGTCAGGATTAGTTTTTTTTTGTTTTACAGCGAAATATTTGTTGATTTTGTTTTCAGAGTACCTATCTGGTTTTGAAAATGTAGCGTGCGACTGTCATTTCAGGCATCTTGAGAAGAAGACATTTCAGTTGGCGAATTACGTCAAAATTAAGTCATTGTCGTACACGACAATTTCAAAAAAGGTCAATTAATCGTATGCCCATGAAAATTCACAAAGTAAATCTTCTATAGATACTGAATATAAAGTCACTTCTGGCAACCCTCTGTGGTCGGGGTACACTACCCTTAAATTTCAAGGAGGATAAGAAATATGATGATAGCAAAATCAATGCATGCCATATATAGTTGTCTGGCTATGGAAGATTGTTAGTGATAGAAGTGTTTTCTGGGGTAGTTTACAGCGGCCACAGACAGCTGCCATAAAGTGAAACGACAACCTAAAATTGGTCATCTGACTTTCGGTCGCCAAGTCATATTTCCCTAGTCTGAATCCTAGAAAATCGTGCGTCATAATTGGCCGTCCCTGACAACAACTAGAGCAATTAATATCATTATTAAATAATGGGTGTCTCAATACCGGCCATACCGCTTTATTCTTGATAATATAGACACTTACTAAGCTGGAAATGTTTTTACTAGGTATACATACATCATCTCTTGAGACAAAGACTCCGTTGTCCGTTGTCGACTACCGTAATGCATATTCCAATATTAGTCGATCTATTTCCTAATCAATACAATCCCTAAAAACTTATTGCGAAGAACCAGGATGTAGGACAAAAATATACTGTACCTTGCAGACGATTTCACCTCTCCCTATGCGGTGCAATATGCGACACTCGATACAATTCGTCTGAATGCGTGTCGATGAACCCCCCAATAGCTTCTGGGGAATTTCACTACTTTGTCTACCTGAAGGTATCTGACGCATAGGTAACACCTCGAATTCTTTTTGCGTCAGAAGAATGGAATTGGTAATTACGTTTTTTTTTTCTGAAAACTATAGTGGTTAATACACGGATTTGCGATACTTTCTTGATCTCTACCCGTGATGGTTCTATGAATAAGACTTGCTTGATTTTGCACGCTGTTAAAAATGTAAATATGTAAAAATGTAATATACCTACACTAAAAAACACTATTGTGGGAATCTTTGTTCTAGCAATGTTTTGATGTGATTTTAAATCCGCAAAAATGTAACTTGTCATTCAATGCAAATCTACAAAAAAAAGGAAATTATTTTTAATAAGAACTATGGAAATAGTAGATGTTAACCTTCTACTGAGTGCTATATTTTTCAAGCCAAAGATCAACTTGTAATGACCATCAGTCTAGATCATAATAGGAAACAATAATTGAGCAATGAAACTGCTCTGTGCATGAGATGAGACCGATTGTATTAGTGTTCTTTTTCAGGCTTCCGAACTGGGTTGGTTTTCCCTTGCCATGTGAAGACAAATTAGATACATCGTCCTGTGTATTTCATCGCAAATCGACGGACATAATCGTGCGTTTCCCACAGTCGTATTGTTCAAGTTTGTAATTTACGAGATGAGGTTACATTTGCAATAAGAAGTTTACGTAGTGAATCTGAAGAAATGGGACGAAGAAGCCTGGTGCCCCCCGATGGTGGTTGGGGATGGGTTATCGTAGTCGCATTCGCTTTATTTAATGTAAGTAGAGACATTATGCTTGGTTTATAAAACAGAATTTCACAACTTTCAGTTCCTAGTCATACCGGTACTCCAAAATTTTGGCCTTATATTCCAAGGGAAATTTAAAGAACTTGGAATGTCGGCTACGGACGAAACTTTTGTGGTTACCAGTGGATTGGCTATTGGAATGCTTGCAGGATTCTTTTATGGGCCGTTGATAAAAAAATTCAATTATCGAAAAGTGTGCACTGTAAGTGCTTTTTTGACGTCGGTGGGGATTATTTCGATGATGTATGCGGAGAAAATGGTGCATTTTCTAATGAGTTACGGATTACTTACATGTTAGTATGAACTAATTATTTATTTTGTATCAACCTTTATCCAAGCAATTTCGGATTGTGCCACCGGGTCAAGAAAATATAAAAATCGAAATATCGTGAAAATCAAGCTACCTCTTTACTCGCAAACCGACGTGTTGAAAATGCAGCAAATTGTCATCTAAAATCAACTTCCGTCAAGGCCTCTCGTGAATTATAATTTCCAATTAATCGTCTATGACGTAAATTAAAGTTAACACTTTGGTTACCTACTATAAATCCAAATCCAATCACTTGCAACGATTCTTCAAATTTCCACACCTACCGCAGTGCCAGCAACGATACCGTGTTGTAATTTAATTTTGACAATTTAACTCGTGTATAAAAATGGCAACCAGTGGAACGGCTTGAACCTCACCGGTGAATGCATTACACGGGTACTATTTTGTCCACAACTGTACCTATTTAATCCCACTTCTTTTCGGGAGCTGTCAAATTAAATATTAGACGTGACCTAAAATTTCCACGGCCTTCTCTCAATCAAAATTTTGTCGCTCATACCTTATTATATAAATATAAGTTTTATAGGCAAAAGGACATTTCCCATTTTCCAATCGTTCCCAAAATCTTCTCATTGCCATTAGAGAGAACATTGGTATAACATTTGAAAAGGTTGCCATTTTAGACTGTTCATATTCTTCCGGATTCTTTAAAATCTCTCGAATCTCCTCCACAAGCTTTTCAGCTCTCAAAGGCTTTAAGGGAACTTCTGTTTCAAATTTCAACCAAAATCGCCGGGTAGTTTCGCTTTCGACTGAACCTTGGTCACAAGAATCATCCCAATTGCCAATTGCTCTTCTATAATTTTTAACAAAATTGGGTCTTATCTATAAAACAATATTCAATCCTCGTTCGCATTTCAAAGTGAAAGTACTGAGCAAGATAGCAGAACTAGCTCGGAAAGCCTCCCCGCCACTCATCCAATCAGCCCCTAGCACGTTCCGTGGTGAGGAACATGTTACAGGGTTTCCAAGTTTTTTTGGCGCCAGCACCACTGTTCTGCACCGTGCAGTTTAGATGTGATGCGTGTAAGAGGCAGTCGGTGATTGAACAACTTGGCAACACTGTACTCAGTCATAGAGCAAATAATATTTTACTCTATGACTCAGTGCATCCGCCTAGTCATGGAGCGACCTTGTCCACCACCGAAGCACCGTCATTGATGAATATACGTTTCAATTCTTAGTTCAGTCTGGGCTATCATTCCCGTTCGCCTCCTCCTCACCGTCTCTTACAGCCCTTTCCAACGAAGAGAGGCGAAACATTTTTTCGTCGACATCTTGTTTCCATTCACCATTTTGTTTCCATCGCCATCTTATTTCTTGCAAGAATTCGAATGCAAAATAAGGCTTTGCGTTTTTTTTTATCAATTTCGTCTGCAATAATAGATATTTTTTAGCGATTGGCTTAAGTTTGGGAATGACCTCATATTCATACGCGCTGAACAGCTACTTCTTGAAGCGAAGAAGTTTCGCGACAGGCTTTGCGTATACGATAACGTGCATGGGATCGATCGCTATGCCCCAATTGATTAGTTTCCTATTATCGCAGTATGACGTGAGCGGTACCTGTCTAATTATTGGCGGACTCTCACTAAACTGCTTCGTATCTGCTGCCTTACTGCAGCCCGTTGAATGGCACATGAAAGAGGATCTATCGAACTTTCACAGGTCCACAGCAGGTAAGTTTGAGATCTTGTGCCCTAATCTAAATCCATCTGCTTCTAGGCAACACCAAGAGATCCTCAATTTACACGATCAATCTTCAGGAGGGCCATTGCTCTGAAATAAACACAGATGAGATGAACCGAAAGGCCGTATCTGACTCGACAACCGCAATATTTTCCGATCGTAATTTGGTAGTTGCAGAAGAAAAGGACAGTGCGATAAAGGAGTTTTTCTACACTATAGCGCACATATTTGATCTGTCCCTTTTAAAAGACATGTCTTTCTTAAACCTGTTAATGGGTTTATCAGCCGCGGCGTTTGCGGAACAAGCCTTTTCGGTGCTAACTCCGTTTATTCTTGCCGATTTGCACATGAATACTCAACAAATCGCTACGTTTATATCGGTACTGTCTCTTACGGATTTAATATTTCGATTCATTACGCCTTTTATCGGCAACTACTTTAAGGTAACGTCCAAAATGATGTGCATGGTAAGCTTTTGTCTACTCACACTTTCGCGTTCCTGTAAGTGACTTCTGAAAAATCTACCGATTTTTAGCATTATTTTTTATTTCAGGCCTATTTCTTCCGCTGCACCAGTATGAATTCTTTGTCGGCGTGGCTCTTGCAATTGGTGTAGCAAAAGGTGTTAGAACTGTCTACTGGACCTTGGTCCTTCCGGATTATGTTCCTTTAAAGATGTTACCATCAGCAACTGGCATGCACATGGTGCTGAATGGTCTATTTCTATTCATAGGAGGTCCAATTTTAGGAAAGTGCCCACTCACATTATTTGAACACGTTATAACTATAAAATTGAACAGGTGTAGCAAAACATTTAAGTGGCAGTTACGTCAACTGCGTTCTCATCACTAATGGCATTACGTTGGTGGCTCTAACCACGTGGTCCTGCGAAATCGGTTACACGAAGTACATCAACTCAAAGAAAGAAGAAGTAAATTGATGTTTCAGTTAATGAGTGTATCGAGTATTTGTTCTAGATTACGAAGATGTGAAAGTATCTACAAGCATCCGTTGGACATCGATTCATTTATTTGTGTTCTTCGTTCTTTCTGTATTTGATTAGTAAATACTAGTAACAGTCCGAGATACCTTAGTTAGTCATCATCGTTTGAAATAAGGGGCGTTCAAAAAAGGATTGACGTCGAGTCGTCTTTGGAAGTTCAAGTTAAATATGATTTTCCACGTACACAAAAATTCCAAAGGTGTAGCGACAGCAACTCTTTTTGATCGCATAGTACACTGTAAACAAGAAATTTAACAAAATTTTGAGTTATAGTTAGAGTTGCGTATATACGATTAATTTTTATTTAAATAGAGCGTTGAATGTTACACAAAAGTCTCTTTAATTGTATTTCAGGTTGAAAGTGTACCGTGTGTCGTATTTTGGGGTTTTCGCGACCCGGCGCCACCATATCTGAGATTTGGCGCTATGTTGGTGTTTTTTAAATGCAATACTATATATATATATCTTAATATCAATTTTTTGCATTCGTTTTCCTGATTACATTGATGTATCAGAACCTACATTTATTTATATGCATAATTATGTAATATATTTTTCACAATTTTGAAATGGCGTGTGTTTTTACCGTCAGCCACATTTATTGGTTGGTATCGGCTGCCATGGATACAATAAACAAAACAAAATCTCTCCATAAATCCATGGCCTACTATTTAAAAACCGTAAAAAATAAGGTTTTATCTTTGGTTCATTGCTAAAATTAAAGAAAAATATAGGTTGTGATGCATCACTGTAATCACGAAAAATAATGCAAAAAAGTTTACGTTAAGATTTACAGGGTGTTGCAATTAAAAAATACCTAGTTTGGGTTAAATCTCAGAAACGGTGGATAAATTTTTGTGACATATGAGTTTTTGGTAATTTGTTAGGGTTGTGTCGGCCCCTGAATTTGTTTTTCACGATTGTTTATTAGTGTAAGGGTTGGGTTGGTTGAATTGGATTGGTTCATTTTAAGTGTGTTTGTGAGCCCCTGAAAATAGGAGTCCTTGTTGATTGTTGACTTGGATTTTATGTAGTGTATAAGTGGAATATATTTTCATCTGCATTTTTTTAAAGTTTTGAGACAACAATTAGGTATATATACCTACGGTATCACGGCAACTACCCAAAGTTGTCAGAAGCGATTCGCCGTCTTTTTGGCCAACACTCGATGACATGACATGTAACTAGTTCTATCACAGCCTTTCAAGACGGATCTGTATATACCTTACACATGTGATCAGTAATTCTTTTGCTCTGACCTAAATTACAACCATGAGTCATACCAAACTTAATTTGAACTGCACTATAAAATAAAACTATTCGAAATATCATTCACATCACGAGATTGTGGTTTGCTGTTGCTCCTCGTGTGAACGCGACCGACACACTCTTCTTACAAGTTGATCTAGCAACCACAATACTACACAGCCCATCGACAGAAGTGAGGCAGTTTGAAGAGCGTAGATATACGTGTCTGTATAATCGTGAACGAAACCTGTTAGAAAAGTAAGTAATTAATAAGAAACCGTGTTGACCATTGCAAAACCTGTTTACCTATAATTGGTCCAATCGCGATTGAGAGCACTCCGTTTAGAATCATCAAAAATCCTGTGGCGACGGGTAGACGCTCAATATTAATATACTCAGGCAAAACTAAAGATTGGAACACCGCTCGCGCTCCTTTCGCTAACCCTACCAATATCGATATGGTTAATATCACTATTCGAGTATCACAGAAAGAGATTAGCACTGGAAGAGGAAAATTAAGACAGATAAACGCGAAGGTTCGAATTTACCTTGCCTTCCAATGCATGACACAATCAAAGTGGTCAGATACATGTGCTTTGCTGGCAAGTGTAACCTGTGAGAGATGAGTGGAATTAACAATCTTCCCGTGATATCTCCCGATGCCTGTATTGACATTGCTAAGGCAACGTCGTCCCGATTCAGTTGCGTCAGTTCTGCTAGGACGAACGGGTTGATTAAATTGAAGTTTAATTCGGCCACGTAAGAAATTGACATTCCTACAATTAGGATGACAAAGCTGCTTTCTTTGAGTAGCTCTAAATTTAGCAAAGCCTTAATTTTACTGGTCACGCTCAATTTTAGTTCGTCTTTAATTAAGCACCGCACCTCATCCGCTGTGCCATCCGCTGCAACATTCTGCTACAATATTAAAACGTCAAATTGAACATAGAACATTGGCATACCTCACGATTTGGTTTACTCTTTCGATATGGTGGTCTAAGCAGTAAAGCGCCAGCCAAAGAGTGAAGCGAGATGCCGGCTAATATTAATACTGTCCCTTGCGTGTTATAGTTGGCAAGAAGAAGATTTGTGACCTGTGGAGTTACGATGGGCAGCAATCCCGTTCCCGTTACCGAGTAACTCATCGCCAGTGTCAATCGTTTTTTGAAATACGTATTTATCGCCAACGAGACTGATTGAATAATCAACCCCTGCCCAATGCCTAGAAAAAAGCGATATTATTCAATGCTAATAGCACTTGGTTTACCAATAAAGATGCAGAAGGTGCCCAGCAGATATTCATACCTACTCGAAAAATAGGTTGCGGAAACCCCGACACTAACAGCCAGACTGCCTGCCAGCGCTACTTGCCTGAAACTGAATTTTTTTAGCAGAGGCCCGGCCACAAAACCTGCAGTCTTGCCGATATTAATTGTTCTTGAGTCGAGTCCACTTACAAAATGTACACATGATGGAATTATACAGGTGCAGTAGGAATGAAATTTGGGTCGCAGAAATGTCTGCCTCCTTGAACGGCTTTTCGTATATTAGGCCGAAGCATTGCACTATTGGGGTAATGGATGACTGTAATGTAAAACAATTATTATAGTCGTATACATATAAATCATTTCAGCTCAAGGGAGGATTGTTGTTTATGGTATCCAGATGCCGAGAAAATTTCGCTCATTTTTAATTAGAGATATTTGGTTACAAGTGTGAAGTCATTAGGACCACGCTTAGATCGTAAAAAGTTAAATCAGCTGAATTCCAGTGGGAAGGAATAACCTCTTTCGTTACAGAACTCGACCTATAGGCAGTTAAAGCTGTTTTGCCTTGCATATATTATTTACAACCCGAGCTGAGCAGAATACTTTCAAAAAGTATGTGAATACTAAATAGTAAATACTTTACACAAATCAAAGGTATTTGAATACTAAATACTTTTACGTCCAGCACAAGCGAATACTAGATACAGATACATTGAAAAGTATTCAAATACTTTAAAAAATAAGTATTTAAATACTTTAGAATGTATTCGAATACTTTCTAAAGTATTCGAATACTTTCAAAGGTATTCGAATACTGTCAAAAGTATTCTAATACTATCAAAGGTATTCGAATACTATAAAAAGTATTCGAATACTTTGAAAAGTATTTCATTAACTTACTTTGAAAAGTATTCGAATACAGTAAAAAGTATTCAAATAGTTGTCACTCAAATACATTAAAAATTTAAAATAGTATACTAGATAAAAATCTTAATATTACTTAAAAAATCAAGTTATACTTTGTATGGGGTTAGCTTTTTTTATATTTCTATTGTTATATACAAATTTAAGCGGAGTAAAAGCGTATTATTATTATTATATTATTATATAGGAGGTACCTACCAGGACCTTTCTTATACCAGTTATATCCTTAAGAATACGTGTACCAGTTTTCAAAGCGTCGTGCACATGATACGTACGCCTTTCTGAAATTAATCCTAGCGATTTTGGAACAGATCCATTTTTGACCATCCGTTTGTCCGTGTGCATGATAGTTGTTTAGAAACGTGCGATCGCTTTGAAAATTGGTACACATGGTCTTAAGGATATAAGAAAGGTCCCTATTGTTTTTAAGTTACGTAGACTATCGAGTCAAAAAGTTTCACTCCAGGATCGTTCGGTATACAGTTGTATCGGATTTTTATATTTGATTTTGTGACAATGGAAACTTTCCCTAAACATTTCTAAATTGTTCTCAAATATTTGAATAACTTAAAAGTACTGCCTTTTTTTGAGGCCGGAAAAAAAAATTGTCTGAGATCGACCGGGAAAAAATTTTCTTATAGAATGTGGCCTGTAGAATCCATAATTTCAAACAGTTTCCAAGATTGGGCTACTATTTCAAAAGTTACAGCCCTTTGAATTTTTTTTTCGAAATTGGTTTCTAGTCTATAACTTTTGATTGAGAAGTCTGATCGAAAAAGTACGAATTGTTTTGGATTCTACGCACCAAAATTAATAAGAAAAAGTGTTTTCCCGAGAAATTTTGGTGTAGTCGATTTTTGGTAAAAAAGGAAGGTTATACACTGCCTTTTTTTGGGCCCCGAAAAAAAAATTGTCTCAGATCGACCCGGAAAAAAAATTTTCTTATAGAATGTGGCCTGTAGAATCCATAATTTCAAACAGTTCCAAGATTGGGCTACTAGTTCAAAAGTTACAGCCCTTTGAATTTTCTTTCCAAATTGGTTTCTAGTCTATAACTTTTGATTGAGAGTCTGATCGAAAAAGTACGAATTGTTTTGGATTCTACGCACCAAAATTAATAAGAAAAAGTGTTTTCCCGAGAAATTTTGGTGTTGTCGATTTTTGGTTAAAAAGGAAGGTTATACACTGCCTTTTTTTTGAGGCCCGAAAAAAAAATTGTCTCAGATCGACCCGGAAAAAAATTTTCTTATAGAATGTGGCCTGTAGAATCTATAATTTCACATTTCCAAAAAAAAAAAGTTCTAAAGTTACAGCCCTTTGAATTTTCTTTCGAAATTGGTTTCTAGTCCATAACTTTTGATTGAGAAGTCTAATCGAAAAAGTACGAATTGTTTTGGATTCTACGCACTAAAATTAATACGAAAAAGTGTTTTCCCGAGAAATTTTGGTGTAGTCGATTTTTGGTAAAAAAGGAAGGAAGGATTCGAGTACTAAATATTTGTGAAAGTATTTGAGTTTCAAATACAAATACTGCTTCCATAAAAGTATTTAATTACAAAGTATTTGAATACTTTAAAGGATTTGAATACTAAAAAGTATTTACAAAATCGAATACTGCCCAGCTCTGTTTACAACGATATATGGCACACAAAAAAACAATAATTGGAAACTGATTGTTTGAACAGGATGGTGCACCCGCGCACTCAAAAATGTAATTGCAATAAGTGGGGTGGCTCAATCCAAGTGGACTTGGTCACTCCATAATAAATTTTAGATTCCTACTGATTTAAATGAGCATCATTTTATGCTTGCGATAGGAAAAGCTCCTAAATTGGACAATTCTTAAATTGATTCACAATAGTGAGGGAGAAAAGTCCAGCGGGGTTACTTGAAATAGTATAGTAAGTACACATAATACGTAACAAATACCTTTATAATCAACAAGTGAATTTAGCATTAGCACTCATTTATTTATTTAAATTAACAACAATGTACTTACAGTGATCAACACAGACGAAATCACAATCATCCATCCGTAGCCACCGTCAGGAGGTTGAAAACGTTGAACACTCGGCATCTCAGGAGTTGCTTTTAGTCAATGGGCCCACTCCAATACAATTTCAAGGACTAATCTTTTATCAGATACACAACAAACTTCCATACTATTAAGTTAATATGTAATTATCTACACCAATTTGTCATTTAACAGTCATGCACCTTGTATGAACTTTTAACGTAACACGAGGTATGAAACATTTCGAACACAAAATGTAGCCAAATGTTTCAATAATCAATTATTGTAATGCATTCATGTTTATCGCAATAATATTGTCACTTTGAATTTTGACCTATGATTTCTTAAATTTTACATCAGAATGGATAACTGTTGCGCAACTCTATACACGTTCGAATACTTTGATAAGCAAGATAAAGGCATAATACAAGCGCACTGATACACTGAATATATGTATGGATATGGGCCCGATTCGGTTATAGGTGGACGGAAATTTGAGGTTGAAGAGAGTACTATTTACAACTCCAGCCCCCCCCCCCCATCATTAGAAAAATTTAAAAATGACAAATCAATTGCATCCAAGTTAGGGATACCAATATCCCGTTGCTCTTGTGGAAAATAATTTACTATTAGTGGAGAGTTGGATCATCTGATAGATATGTGCTTGGTCTTGAATTAACTATGGCTTCACAATCACACAAAACCGATACCAATTCTTCATAACTCAGGGAAGCGCTGCCTAGTACTCTCCAAAGTAAAGATTTCAAAATTATTTTATTCTTTCCCAAAATCCGCCCCATCACGCGGCGGTCGGTGGTTTAAAGTACCACGTTATGCGATCAATGAAAAATGGCACATATAAACAAATTGATATAGTACAAGAATTCACAACACAAATCTCTAATGAAATTTTCAAAGTTATAGCGGCCTTCCTCAAGAAACAATAGGTAGGACGCGAACCTACTAAATTAAATGTTTTGAGGACATAAATAGGTTTATGAGAAGGTATTTCACCACGTGCAAAGTGCAGCTGGAAAAGCGGATATCATAATATCCCTTCTTTTATTAAAATAGACACTAAGAACAAGTCCAGTAGCTTAACTTATAAGACTCAAGAACCTGAAGATAATAATTACTATTCCTACCCTTCATAGAAAATGGAAAACAAAGCAAATATATTATAATTTACAAAACGAATAATTATGTATAACGTTTTAGGTTTAAGTTCCAATTATATAAGCAACAGAAAGTTGACCCACGGAACCTGATAGTTCAAATGACGACCGACGTGAATCTGCTCCCCTTGTTCTACCAATAAAGCCGTGAATTCCTTTTCCCATATCAGGTGTGGATAGGACCGGCTTGGCGAGCATATTGTTCGCAACATGAGATACATATACATCTTTCTCTGGCTGCATTTTTATTTAAAATTAGTACCTATAATTAGTACCATATAGAAAAACCACAAAAATTACACTTTATTACTTAAAGTTTTACGGCTCAATCCAAATGACGTGTCTTTAAATGTCGGTAGGCTACTGATCGTTTTCTTAACCGGCACGATGTCGAATGATCTCAAAATCTCTACCAATATTAACTTACACTCCAGCATAGCGAATCTTACTCCTGAAACCCAGTAATCCAATCCAAACTACCAGCAAACGATATATACTATCTACCTAGGCAGCTCTTAGGTCCTATACCAAAAGGCATCAACGAAAATGGTTTGTTTTTCCCAAATCGATCGGGATCAAACTTTTGCGGATTTGGATAATGTTTTGGGTCGTGATGGATTGGACCTGCAGGAATCCAGACACAGTCGCCTTCCTTTAGATGTACAGGTTTTTCGCCTGGATGTACCGGTTCAATGGTGTAATTTTTCGTACATCTTCTATCGATAATACTAAAAACCAGATGGATTCGAAGAGCTTCTACAAGGATGGTTTTTATCACAATCCCTACTATCCACACTTACCTACCAAAAATGACGTTCTCTATGTAGTTCATCGAGTTTATGGCTTCAAAGGTAAGTTCACCATTGTACTCATTTAATACCTCTTCTATTTCGGTACAAACCTTCTCTTGGATTTCGGGATTGAGAGCCAACTCGTATGCGGCAGTAGTTATTGTGTAAGCCACGGTTTGGAATCCGGCTATTAGAAATGTACCAGCGCCAGCAGTTACTTCCTCTATAGTCATATCGCAAACCCCCCCAGCATTTAAACTTGTTTCTTTCCTGCCAGACTGTACGTACTTACTAAGCAAGCCAACGATGTCGTCTCGTACAATATTGCTTTCTAAGCGGTAAAGCATATTCTCTCTGATTAGTTGAAGGAAGAAGTTTGTCATTTTCGACTTTAATAAGCTTGGAGCTATGATCTAAAAATTCGATGCAGTTACCAATTATAGTGTCATTATCACAAACCTTCAGTAACCGAGGGTATAAAGAGTAGACAACGTAAGTAATTCCTTTCATTCCCGAAAAATCGGCTAAAGATTTACATCCATGAAAAAAGGCATTATCTCTGTCTAGTACTGAATTGCAGGACACCCCCAGAGTTGCACTACCAATCACATCGTTTGAATATCTTTCAAATAGATCTCTCACATCTACATAATCTGTCCTCTCACAACTGTTTAAGTAATCCAAAATTTGTGTTGAGCACACTTGCATTAGCGAATACCACCGTCGAAGTTTACTACCAGTAAAGAAAGGTGTTAATGCTCCTCTAAGCTCATACCAACCGTCTTTGGCTAGAAGTGCAGATGTATTGACGATTTTCGTTTCATTTGCATACCTGCCATCGAAAAAACATTTTTTTGAAATAGTTTATCTGCACACAAAACGTTGGGGTAGATATTGTGGTTGGTAAATGACTCAAAATCGGTTATAGTAATCTTCTTGATTAGATCCAAATCGTGTACCATCAAAATTGGACGAAAATATTGGAATAGACCTACATATCTGAAAATAAAACATTACCTACTATTACTTTACATTTGTTTTTCTATCTCACAGCAGTGTGGCACATGCGTATAAATTACGCATTCATGTGAATTATCTCCTTATATGAACAATGTACTTATTTAAACAATGGTATCACCACACTAACCAATAGAGCTATAATTTATACAGCTATGTAAAAAAGAATTAGAAAGAAGAACTAGAAAAAGCATACCTCTTATCTTGATGTTTAAAATAAATGTCCTTTAAGTTACTGAATCTTGGAGTAACCATAAAAACAAGTTCAGTAAAATTGTAAAACGTATAAATTGGGTTAACTGCTGTAACACCTCGTTCACACCAATAATTGTAATATAAAAAGTAATATCTGATTATTAATAGGATTAATAAAATCCCCAATAATACAAAGCTCCACATTTCTTTGTGATTTGATTAAGTTGAAAAATGAAAGTTGAAGCAAAGAGTAACCCTTTGGTTCAAACAAACATATAACTTATCTATAATTGGGATATAAGTTATTCACAGTGCCGATAACTGGTATTACACAAACACGTTGAACTTTCACATTATGTGACCTAGTACTCTGTCAATAGCATAACGCTTCAGTGCAATCGTGAAGAAAATTCCATTAATGTACAATCGAATCAGTTCCTCCACTTTGTGGAATTAAATTTCAAATTCAAAATAAAACACAATAAGCGACACGACGTCATGCCAGACAATCTTATGGAATTAGGATTAGTGATGGGCATTAACCAACCAATAGAGATACCTCGACCAGACTATGCATAGATACATTTCTTCCAAGCGTCCCAATCGCTCTTTGTGAGTACCATCCTCCGACAATCTGTTCTTAAGATATGGAAGTATTTATATCCGATCACGATAAGGAGTAGGAGGCTATGATCGTTAGAAATTGATTCCTTTCGTTGACACCTTTTGTTAGAGTACCATGTCCAGTCCATCCCCCCTCCCTCCAAAGCTCTCTTTTGATAATAAGGAGTCAGGAAGTAGGACGGTAGTTGGTAAAAACCATGAAAGATAAAATTAATTTCTACCGCCTCCCTCTACCCTCCGGCCACCTACTGAACCTTTCATTAAAATACCATAAAGGGTAGAACGTGTGCCCCTCCCCCACCCATTTTCAAAAATGTTACTTGGCACCACTAAATGCAAATTATGAGACCAGTTAGCCTCCCCTTGAGACAGCAAAATTTTGCGGACTTTTGGAAAATGCGCTAAAAAATATAGACCGTCATTACATAAGATCACACAACTGGGTTCCCCGCCAAACTCTGCTTGCAGAGTGTAAGAAAAATGTTGGAAGAAATGTTATACCTATTAGTCTCACCAAAATTCTAATAAATTGCAATTCGACGAGCCCATTAGGGATCAGAATAAAAAAATGTGCCAAATTCTTGACAGAAAAGTTTTCTAGCTCAGACCCAAAAGTGCTCTTCACCGTCTAACGCTTTTTCTTACATTTGTTTGTGTTTATTACTAATACTTATTCATTTATTATCTAAAGTTCGTAAACACAAAGCTCCTTATTCAATTCAATCGGCACAATAAGAACGACATTTTACAACTTAACCCTTAAGAGGGTAAGACACCCTCATAAAGTTGCCAATGACTTTATTTATCGACTGTAGTTGTTAGGTTCTACTTCTCTTTACAGTATTACTATTAACACAGGTTTTAGTCTTTAAATTTGTGATATTAATTAACCATTATAAAAACTGCGGAATACACATGTACCTAAATTGATATTTTAACCTCGATTTTAACATAGGTATTGATATTTTATTTTAGGTTCTTTGCATTAAAATCAAAAAGAATGCAACGGCCGAACTGCAATCGCTCATCCTAAATAATAAACGCGCACTAAGCTGCTAGATAGTTTTCTAACTTTAACATGTTTTCTCCGGTTTTTTATAATAAAACGTAGCATAATTTTGTTGTACGCAAAAAAGAAAGTTTTTCGAATAATTTAATAAAAGTATTGCCTTTCTATTTAAAAAAAAGTTCCTCACGGCCCTAAAAACTTAGATATTAAAAAAAGACAGTTTTACATCATTCATAATGGCCCGTATGAATAAAAGTAAGCAAATGCTTATACATACTTGCAAAACTCAAAGTAAATACTCGTAATTGCCCCTTCATACTGGTCTGTTTAGCATGGTTTAGCAGCGCTGCATTGCCTCATGTCCTTCTGCTTAGAAGCGCTGCTAAGTCGCCCAGTGCGAAGGAGCACTTACGAGTATTTACTTTGAATTTTGCAAGTATAAGCATTTGCTTACTTTTATTCATACGGGCCAATGTCTAATGTACATTCGTAAAATTTTAACGAAATCGTAGTCACCGTTTTGGCGAAAAATTGTTTAGTTTTCCTCAGTTTTTTTGTAATGAAATCTGGCAAGAGAAAAAAAATCTCGATCAAAAGAGCCTAATGAAAGTGCGCATTTGCTATTTCAAAAAATTCAATTGTTTTTCGACATTCATTTGTTTTCTGAAATAAAACAGTGGAATGCTGCCTTATTACGGGAAATAAAATATTAATCAAATTTATATAGAAAAATTATGTACCTATACAGTCAATATTTACCAAGATGGTCCAGATGACTAATCTTGTTTTGCACCGAAAAATTTAAGCAAAGAATCCATGGTAACCATTGTCTCAATACTCATCGTCCATGGATTTTAAGCTACGTTTAAGCTAAGCTCCGCTTAAATTTGTCGGTGCAAAGGGCCATTTAAACCTTGTATTCCTATTCCCATGTGAAGTGTGGATTGATAGGATTGGGTAAGGGGACGTATTGTTCGCAATATACACAATTACACATAGGTACATCTGGCTGGATTTTTATTTAAAATTAGCTCACTTAGTACCATACGGAAAGAACCACAGAAATTACAGTTAATTCCTTAAAGTTTTACGGTTCAATCCAATTGATGTGTCTTTAAATGTAGGTTGACGACTGATCGTTTTCTTAACCGGCACGATGTCAAAGTATCTCAAAATCTCTACCAACATTAACTTACACTCCAATATAGCGAATCTTGATCCTAAAACTCACTAATCGAAACCACCAGCAAAAGATTTATTTATACTTGCCTACGCAGTTCTTAGGTCCTATACCAAACGGCATTAACGAAAATGGTTTCTTCTTCCCAAATCGATCTGGATCAAATGTTTGCGGGTTTCGATAATGTTTTGGATCGTGATGGATTGCACCTGCAGGAATCCAGACGCAGTCGCCCTCCTTTAGATGTACAGGTTTTTCGCCTGGATGTTGCGGATCAATGGTGTAATTTCTTGTGCATCTTCTATCGATAATACTTACAAACAGATGGATTCGAAGAGTTTCTACAAAAAAAGGGATTTATCGTAATTCCTATTATCCACACCTACCAAAAATGACGTTCTCTATATAGTTCATCGAGTTTATGACTTCAAAGGTAAGTTCACCATCGAACTTATTTAATGTTTCTTCTATTTCGTTACAAACTTTTTTCTGGACTTCGGGATTTATAGCCAACGCGACGATAATATAATGGATTCCGAAAACACGTTGATTTAATCCACATAATACAAAAACAATTCGTCCTTGCAAGGAGACTAAGGATATCAAACAACCTTTGAAAGGTGTATTTTAAAACACAGTAGTAGCCTTTGACTTTAAAAAATAGATCTTGCACAACTGCAAGGTTGTATATATACACCGTTCGATCGTTATTACCTCGGTAGGTATCAATGGAATTTTGTTTTTATGTTTAATGAAATCAAAAAACTTAACCCGGCTTAGTGATATTTGGGATGCAAGTATTTATGCATTAAATTTAACTATTGGTCTAATTTTGGGCTTCATACTATTCTAGGTATAAAAAATAACTAAAGGATGATCGGGCGGTACACTTTTGAATTTAAACCGCATAGGCCACAACCTTAAACGGATATACAGGGTGCCCATTATGTATGGAATATGCATATCTCGACAAATATCGACTGTATACAATATTTTTCTGTATATAAGTTGTTTAACATGTTATTTCCCATAATAAGGCAGCATTCTTTTGTTTGTATTTCAGAAAACAAATGAATAACGAAAAACAATTGAATTTTTTTAAATAGCAAAGCACCCTTTCACTAGGCTCTTTTGATAGAAATTTTTTTTCTATTTTCAATGACGTTACACGTTAGCACCCGTGTAGAAGAAATTAGTTTTTATTTGCGCTTTTTAGCGCATTTCCATAAAAATAAAAATAATGCGCTATTGTGGTCCCTTTGTCCGTCCGTCTATCCGTCTGTCCGTCCGTCCGGTCGCTATACTAGATCTTTATCTTAAAACCTATTGTGCTACTTTTTGCGCTATTTGGTTCGTTATGGCGTCGAGGCTTATGCACCAAGGATTTTCTGCGTTTATTAGTAAAAAATAAAGTTTTTCATGTAGTACCTTTGCCGTTTATTAACGATCCTCAATATAGTTTATAATGTTGTATTGTCTGTTGGTCTATCTGCTGCCTGTCCGTTTGTCTGTCTATCCGTGTGCACGGTCACTTTGTTTAGAAACGTGGGATCGCTTTGAAAATTAGTACATATGTTCTTAAGGATATAAGAAAGGTCGCTAGTGTTAAAATATAAAAAGGGAATAGGAGGCTGAAAAAAGTGAAGTGGAAATCGCGCGTGGGTGCAAAAATGATGTAAAGATTTGAGAGACGATTTTTTACGTTTAGTTAATCTGTGATTGAATTATAGTGCATTTTATGTTAATAAAGTATTCATTAAACATTTTAAAATAACAGGTTATGGCAGCCCAGAACGTTTAGTAAAAAAAAAAGTTTGACAGTGACGTAAGTGGAAAATGATTCGCCAACAAATCGTAAGTTTCCCTTATATTTTAAAACGGACTGAAATCGACATAAAATTAGTGTACGGATCGCGTTAATGCTAAATGAAATACGATATTACGAAAACGAAATAAACATTGCACCGATAGGTAACGAATTAGACGAACGCGTTTTACCGAGCGTTTTACAATCGCGAAATTTTGAAACGTACGTAAATTAGTAAACGCATATAAAATGAACGATTTATCGCACCATATCTCGAAACTGAACGACGACAATTATTCATCGTGGAGCATTAGAATAAAAAGTTATGCGACAATGAAAAATCTAGATACGGCTTTAACGGACGGAAATTTCGCAACGAAACCAGAAAACAAACAAGCAGACGATAAATGCAGAGCCCTAATTGTTTTGAATGTGGACGACCGCAATCTATCTCAAATCGACGAATGCAGCACCGCATACGAAATGTGGAAAATTCTGGAAAACGCTCATGCCAAAATTGATAATTTTCACGCGATATTATTAAAAGAATTCGTGAATTCAGAGAAGAAAACAACGGAATCAATCGATGAATACGTCTATCGCAAATGTGAGATTCAGAAGAAATTAAATGAGCGCGGATTAAAATTCGACGAAAAAATCAAAATCGGTATTATTCTAATCGGATTACCGGAAACGTACGAGCAAACTATCCGGACCATAGACTTAAGCAAAGAAGATTTAACATTAGACCAGATTAAAACGAAGTTACGTGAAGAAGAAAAGTTGATCAAGAACAAAAATTCCTCAAACGAACACGCAACGATTAATATAGCAAAACGAAATAACGAAGCAAAAACTGAACCTCGCGAACGTGAAAGTCAACAGAAAAATTGGAGAAACGAACGAACCCAGGAACGTACATATGGGGAAGAAAATTCTAGATGCGAAACGTCATATCAATCGGAAAGCATTAAATGTTTTCGATGCAACCGTTACGGACACATCGGACGTTTTTGTCCACGATACGGAGATGATACGAACGGAAATAGAAATAAAATCGAAGCTCAAGGCCAAAAGAATAAAAAGGAAAATTCTCGAATCACCGTGTGTCAAACCAATTATGTCGCAAACGAAAAGAAAGAAGAATGGATAGTAAGACAGCGGATCCACAGATCACATTTCAAACGACAAGAAGAAATTCACAAAAATGAAGATGGAGAATCGAAGCATAAGATGCGCGGGAGAAGAAATATTAAAAGGAGAAGGCATAGGAGACGTAAACGTAACATTGGTCCAGAATCGAGAAAAACGAGAGATAATCTTAAAAGACGCGCTTTATGTTCCTAAATCGACAAACAATCTAATATCTGTGTCAAAACTGTGCGACGACGGAAATTCTGTTAATTTTGACGGTAACGCAGTAACTGTTAAAGACAAAACGAATAAAACGATAATGTTTGGAAAAAGAGACAACGACATATACAAAATAACGGAGGACATTTCTCGAGCAGACGTAGCAACATGCAGTGAATGGAACGAATGGCACGCAAGACTAGGTCATCCAAGTAAAAATGAAACAAGAGAATTGGCAAATTTATACAATCTCAAGATTAATGCAATGCAAAAATCCTGCGACACATGTAATGTATGCAATATTAAAAGAAAGAAATTCCCTCGAATGACGGCAAATAGAAGAAGAAATTGTTTAGACCTGATACATAGTGACGTAATCGGGCCAATAACTCCATATTCAAGAGGAGGAAGGAGATACGTCGTGACATTTATCGATGACTACAGCCGATATGCCGAGATCTATACCATCAGACACAAGAGCGAAGTTTTAAACAAATTTATTGATTACCAAAAGAAGGTCGAACGGATGCATGACAGGAAAATTAAAGAATTGAGAAGCGATAACGGAGGCGAATATTTAAACAGGGATTTTGAAACTTATCTACGAACACAAGGTATCCGAAGGGAGCTGACCACGCCATATACGCCGCAGCAGAATGGAGTGGCGGAACGTTTAAATCAAACACTTTTAAATATAACAAGATGCCTCATGAACCAATCGGGAGCCTACGACGATTTCTGGGGTGAAGCAATATTGACTGCAAATTACATTCGAAACCGAAGAACAACTACGAGTAACGAAGGAAAGACGCCATACGAAATATGGAGTAATAGAGTAACAGGAGTAACTCATATGAGAAGTTTTGGATGCAAATGTTGGTACAAAAACAATCAGCCCAGACAGAAATACAAGCCTCAAGGAAAGGAAGGGATTTTTATTGGATACGAACCCTATTCCAAAGCTTATCTGATATGGGATCCAATACAAGAATGTCTAATTATAAGCAGAGACGTGAAGTTTGATGAAACAAGATTCCCAATGAAGGAAGATAACAATAACGATAAAAACGAAAATGAAGTAATATGGAATCGTTTTATCGATCCATTCATAGATGACGAAGAGCATAGTATGAACGAGTCGAACGATGAAAATAAGGAAAATAATAATGAAGACAAACGAAGCGAAACGAAAAACGAAAACGAACAAGACGATGACAGTGATGAAACGAAAAACGAACACGAGCAAGAAGTGAGTAATCAAGAAAATGATGAGGACAACGACGAAGAAAGAAATGAACTGCAACGTGAAGAAGTAACTACGACTAGGAGTGGGAGAATCAGCAAACGACCTGTATGGCTAGAAAATTACGATACCACAGGACAGACGTCATACGTCATTGCCGAATACATATCAGAAACCGAACCAAAAAGTTACAACGAGGCCATGAAAAGTAAAGAAAAGTACGATTGGCACGAAGCAATACAAGAGGAGTACGAAAATTTGATAAGTAACGATACGTGGAATATAGTTGAACGACCCAGAGACGCAAAGATTCTAAGAAGTATGTGGATATTTAAACGAAAGTACGATGACTGCGGACGAATAATGAAATACAAAGCACGACTTGTCACTCTAGGTAATCATCAAACTAAATATGTAGATTACGAGAAAAGTTTTTCACCAGTAATCATGAGAAAAACGATGCGAATATTATTAGCCATAAGCGTAAGAAAAAATTGGGAAATAAACCACATCGACGTAAACTGTGCATACTTAAATGCGAGACTGGATGAAGAAACCTACATGGAGATACCAGACGGATTCCACGAAAATTTAAACAAGAAGAAGTATGTTTGCGAACTGAAAAAAAGCCTGTACGGTCTACATCAATCGGGATATTTATGGAATCAAGAGATTAACGAATTTTTGAAAAAGATGGGGATGCAACGATCAAGAATGGACCCTTGTCTTTACTACAACACGGAAAGAACTCTGATCGTGACTCTATATGTAGACGACATGGTCTTACACGGATTGAAGACAGAAATAGAAAAATTGAAGAACGCGTTAAGTAAAAATTTCAAGATCAAAGATCTAGGCGAAGCAAGCAGGGTTTTATCAATCAACATTAAACGATTCAACGGATCACTGAAGATAGATCAACGAGATTACATTCTAAACATCCTTAAAAATTTTGGAATGACGGATTGTAAACCAGCGGCAACACCGTTAGAACTTGGAGCAAAATACATGAAAAACATGGCTGAAATAAATAACCAAGTAAAAGGCATGTATGAAAAAATAGTTGGAAGCTTATTATACTTAGCCACCAACACGAGGCCAGATATTGCTTTCGCAACGTCCTATATGAGCCAATTCACGATAAATCCAAGTCAACAACACCTACAAGGACTAAAACGAATACTAAGGTATTTAAAGGGAACCTTAGACGTGGGAATAGTATATACGAAAGATGATAAGGAAACAAACGTTAAAATTTACACTGACTCAGATTGGGGATGTGATTTAAACGACCGCAAATCATATAGCGGATATGTATCAATAATGAGTGGAGGACCTGTGTCATGGACGAGCAGGAAACAACGAACTGTAGCACTCAGTAGTGCGGAAGCTGAATTACTTGCTTTATGTGAATGTGTCAAAGAGACGATTTGGTTTAGGCAGCTATTCGAAGAACTGCAAATAATCTATGATGTGAGCCGACCTTGGAAAATATACATGGATAACATGGCTGCACAGAAACTGGCAGAGAACGAGACAACATCGGAGAGAAGCAAGCACATGGACATAAAAACGTTAAAGATAAGAGATGACATCAAGGAAGGAAAAATTTTCTTGAAGTACGTACCAACTGAAAGGAACTTGGCGGATTCATTCACAAAAATTTTGAGCAAAGAACGGACAACACGACTGAACGGATTGATGGGAATTGATTTCAAGTACGAAAGGAAATCAATTCAGGAGGGGTGTTAAAATATAAAAAGGGAATAGGAGGCTGAAAAAAGTGAAGTGGAAATCGCGCGTGGGTGCAAAAATGATGTAAAGATTTGAGAGACGATTTTTTACGTTTAGTTAATCTGTGATTGAATTATAGTGCATTTTATGTTAATAAAGTATTCATTAAACATTTTAAAATAACAGCTAGCAATTTCGTTAAAAGTTAGGTACCTACTTTAACTTCCACAATAGAAGCAGGTAATGACAATGCTGTGCAATTTACGTCCATAATAATAACATAACATATATAATTATATGCGGTCTATAGGTCGAAATTTAATAATGTAATGTGGCATACAATTTCTGTTCTTCCATTTTACCCTTATGATTCCGTTCAATACAGAAAATATGTCATAAGATTACTTTTTTCCAATTGCAACAAATTAAACCTCAATTTCAGTTAGAAAATTGCTGTTATTTATTAAAACTTTATCATGAGTGCAAGGCTACTAGCACTAATGCTCTATGGGAATCGCGAGGCGCATGCAGATCAATGATATCAAGAGGTTATGGATTTCAAGGATCGAGTGTGGATTATACCGGTTGGATTGGTTATACATATACAAACATATCCTTCTGTGGAATGATTTTATTTAAATTAGTAAAATGGCTGCCATACACACAGCTTGGATTTTTGAATATAGAGTTATAAACTACACCTTATTACGTATAATCTTACGATTTAATCCAATTAATTTTCCTGCCATTGTAGGTTGGCTACTGATCGTTTGCACGATGTCAAAAGACCTCAGAATCTCAACTAATATTAATTTGCACTCCATCATACCAAACCTTGAGCCTAAAATCAATTAATCCAGCCTATAGGTAAAGGATGCGTGATATCTACCTAAGCAATTCCTAGATCCGACACCAAATGGCATTAACGAGAATGGCTTCTTCCTTTCAAATCGATCAGGGTCGAATTTTTGAGGGTTTGGGTAATATTTTGGATCGTGGTGGATTGCACCGGCAGGAATCCAAATACAGTCGCCTTTTCTTAGATGTACGGGTTTTTCATCTGGACGTTCCGGTTCAATGGTGTAATTTTTCGTGCACCGTCTATCAATAATACTTAAAAATAAGTGGATTCGAAGCGCCTCTGAAACAAAAGTTGGTATTACAATTTTTATTATCCACACCTACCAAAAATGACGTTCTCTATGTAGTTCATCGAGTTTATGGCGTCAAAGGTTAGTTCGCCGTCGTACTTATTTAAGGTTTCTTCTATTTCGTTACAAACTTTTTTCTGGACTTCGGGATTTATAGCCAACTCGTATGCGGCGAAGGTGAGGGTGTAAGCAACAGTTTCGAATCCGGCGATTAAAAACACAGCAACCCCAGCAGTTACTTCCGCTATAGTCATATCGCAAACTCCCCCTGATGCATTTAAACTTGTTTCTTTCATACCAGACTTGTTCTGTATGTACTTAGTGAGCAAGCTAACAATGTCGTCTCGTACAATATTTCTTTCTAAGCGGTAATGCATATTCTCTCTGATTAGTTGAAGGAAAAAGTCTGTCACTTTTGATTTTATTAAGCTTGGAGCTATGATCTAAAAATTCGATGTAGTGAATTATAGTGTCATTATCGCAAACCTGCAGTAACCGAGGGTATAAAGAGTAAACAATGTAAGTAATTCCTTTCATGCCCGAAAAATTGGCTAAATATCTACATCCATTAAAAAATGGATTATCTCTGTCCCGTACAGAATTGCAGCACACCCCCAGACTGGCACTACCAATCACATCATTTGAATATCTCTCAAATAGATCTCTCAAATCCACGCAGTCGGTACTTTCGCAACTATTTAAATAATCCAAAACTTGTTCTGAGCATCTACGCATTAGCGGATACCATCGCCTCAGTTTACTACCAGAGAAGAAAGGCGTTAGCGCTCCTCTTAACTCGTACCAACCATCTTCGGCTAGTGCAGACGCAGTTATAGCAACTTTTCACCCTACATTTATATACCTGTCATTGAAAACACGTTTTTATGAAATAATTTATCCGTAAATAGCACATTTGGGTAAGGACTGTGATCGGTAAATGTGTCAAAATCTTGTACACAAATTTTCTTGATTAGGTCTAAATCATTCACCATCAGAATGGGACGAAAAAATTGGAATAGGCCGACGTATCTGGAAATAAGACATTACAATTTTAATTCCCATTACGATAGCCACCTACCTCTTATCTTGATTTTTAAAATAGAGGTCTTTTAGATTCGTGAATTTTGGGCTAACGCGAAAAACAAGTTCACTAAAATTGTGGAACGTATAAATCGGGCTAATGGCTGGAACACCTCGTTCACTCCAATAATTGTAATATAAAAGGTAATATCCGACTATTAATAGAAGGATTAATATAATCCCCAATACAAAGCCCCACATTTCTTTGTAAGCACTTTTTATTTAGTTAAGATCGGTTAAGATGTTAAAACGAATGAAAGTCCATGCAAACATGCAGTTATCGTTAATTGAGAGATAATAAGCTGTTTTTTAAGAAAGAAAATAAAATCCAATTGTCGCCAAACTTTGAACTGATTCTTAATAGGTGAACTGGTACCCACTAATGGCATAGTGAATGGAACTCTATTAATAGGTCAAATCTGTCCATAATTTCACCGTCTAATGGGATTTTTTAATCAATAACGCATTAAAAATAGATTGGTTTTGATTACCACCTCCTACTATTGATGACACAACACTATATCAAGCACTTATCGATAACCTATAGTCCAGCACATAGTGGTTTGCTAATATTTTTATTGCGCAATGATGGAGCTACTGTCAACATCAGCCACATAGACCTACAGTTTCGAACAGTAATTCGCTAAAACTTCCAGGAAGTCCATTTTAAACGTACAACAATGTTTGCGTCTCTTTGTTAGGCAATAAGAACTAATCTTATCTAATGCCTAACCATAATCCTGGAAAGAGCAAAAGAATGAGGATGGTACACAAATTTCCCAGGTAATTAAGTGCTCAGAAGGCAAGTCTCGCTGTAAAGAAACTCAAAATTGTGGGGATTATTATTACTATTAGAAGCAGCTATAATATTTTGCAGTGTAGGTACCAATGTACCATTGATATTTTCTAATAGTTTTTAATGTAATTTTGTCAATGAAGGTTTATGACAAGTAAAAAGAAAAATAATTTCATTTTACTTCGTTTCTACTACGTTATCGAGTCCGTCTGCCTGTTCCTAAAGGTAATGTACACCGGAGTTGTCAATAAATGTCGAGGATTTTTATTTTCGACTAGTCCGTCATGAATGAAAAGCTGGTGTCGTTTGACAATGACTATGACAATTTATTGGAGTTTCAAAACGAAGTTGCTTGATAAAGGATAAATGTTGGAAGGCTGTCAGCAATGCGAAACCAGAACCAGTTACGGCAGAGTAGAAGTCAAGTGAGCTGGCAATGGTTGAGGACAACCCGCTGATTCATATTTGGATACTTGAAACAGCAATAAAATTGAGACTTGAGGTAATCTCAGAAAGGCGTCAAAAACACGCTACGAGTACCAAAGTGTCTCTGATGACCTGATGATCTGATGATCTGAAAATTTGCCGTCTTCGTCTTGAGTCGACGTTATTATACCATGGTCGACGGTGATATGGAGGCACACATTGCGACACTGACAGACCTGTTGGAAAGGTTGAACGAAATGCAGAAAAATGCAGTTCTGGGTGACCAGCGGCTGGTGGAAATTTTATTTAGCAGCCTCCCAGAGAAGTACACAACTCTGGTAACTGCCCTGGAGGCGAGGCCGAATGCAGATATAACCCTGGATCTCGGCCCTCGAGCTTTTTAACTCATCGCCCTCGAGAATATAAACATCACTAAAATAACTGTTGCTTACATGGTAAATGGTACTTAGGTTGAATTTCCACAGGCGACTCGACAGCAACTCATTTTTCATCGCCCGTTATTCATTGATGATTATAGCTCCGTCGTTATCTGCGGAAGTCTGCTTTGATATTAATACTTTCTCCGACTACGTCTTATTTTTACTAAAAATTGAATTAACTTTAAATATTGACATTCCAGATTCGTATGTATATTACAGTGTCCTATTTGTAATATTTCAAGAATTATTATTGTTTATGTTCTACCCCTATCAAGTATTTTCTTTCTTTAGCTTATCAAGACCAGACCAAGAATCTCTGCCTTGTTTTTCCCTTTTGGTAACTATTCTCTTTTTGACTCAAGACTAAGTGGCGCCTATCCGGTTTACTTTTAGTAGGTACCTTTTCCCTTTTGCTAGTGTACAAGAACCCCGATATTCACCCCGACCCACCTCTACTTTGCCTGAGCTAAACTGGAAGTAGAAAATTTGCGTAATATATGTACCTCTACAATAAACGCGTCATGCTGTGTTCATCGCTATTAATTAAAAGTCGAGTCCGCAAAAATTGTTTTTTGTTTAAAAATTGTGGTTTTACGGAAAAATTCGTACTACATAATTAAGAGGTAGCCTATTACCGATGTATATACAATGGTATTACCTATGCGAAGTAATAAATATACATTTAAATGTTAAAACATTGGCATTACTTTCATCCGGTGGTCCGGAATGGTCCGCGAAATCCAGGGAAAAAATTAAAAACAATTATCGCTACAGTTATTTATTTGGACATGGCCGATTTATCTGCCCATTAATCGCCTTTTACGATTTCCAGGGCGGGAGTGGGTCGATTCTTCCCCCGAGCCCACAGGGGGTTGTATGACTGCACCTATTTACTAAGCTACGTGATTGTTCCAATACATCTTCTGGCTCGTCTTCTGGTCACCTAGCGTTCGGCCGATTTCTGGGCCAAATTAAATGTATAAAATTCAATTACTATGATACAAAAGCTAAAAAAGAAAAAAGACATGTAACGAAACGGGCTGGCAAAATAGGAATGATATAATCTTTCGCAGTGTGGCACAAGATTTAGGGTGGGGAGGAAGGTAAAAGGGTTATAACGTTCTCCTTGCAGCTGAAATGTTTTTTTTTAGAAAATAGAAAATGAATTCAACTTTAATGCGCGTCTACATTTCATTATTCGTATCTCGCATTAACTACGACAACAAAATGCAAAAGAGAAATACTTAAACGTCTCGAATCGTACAATAAAAATCAACAGCAGTTAAACAAATTAATAAAACAAATGTAAATTTTTGTCTAAATTTTGATTCTCGATAACAAAAACGGATTTGGAAACCGCACAAGGTAAAAATTTCTATAGGTAGGCATACCTTTTAAAGCCAAAGTTAGTAAATTAGGGGTTGGGCTGGATTACGTTTTGTGATCGTTGCCGAAGGTTATGTGGGGTAAATTGCATTTGGTTTTTGTCTCAATTTCTTTTGTTAGTATAAAAATTGAATCCGCGCAAGGTTTGGTTCACTTTCTCAGTGAAATTTTGTACAGTTCCCTTTTTAAAACATATGCTAAAATATTCCATAAATTTACGTCAATTATAGTTAGTAAATGAAGACCTTCGATCTTCGTTCGTTAGCATGTTTTTATTCGGTTTGCACATGATGGTAATGTTTATTTTTAAATGAGAGAAACACAATCGAATGTTAATTGCGTACACAGATAATTTGTCATTAATAATTAAGTTAAGTATTGATTTGTATTAACCTCAACCATTGAATTTATTATAAATTCAACGCCTGAACCTGTTTTATCTCATTTGAATAGTGGCCATTTTAACTTGGATAAGGTCACTATCGCGTGAAAGACCAGCACAATAACATTGACAATACAATATGCAAGTTGAGATATAACGTGTACCAGTGAAGATCCACACATAAGTGAGTACTTATATTTCAAAGTATGCTGCTATTGTTATTATCTATAACAAATAATTTAGTAAACTACTTAGACCTCTACCAATCACATCATAAGAGCACAGTAAAACTGCGCACCAGGGGTCTATTTCATAAGTTACTTTGCATCTTTGCACTTTGCATTTTTCAGATAATAGGTACCTATTTGGGTCCATAAAAACTATTTTGACACTCGAAATAAATGTAAAGTAGGGATGAATAACACATGAAATGCTATACGTTTACCAAAATATTAGAAACCGATAATAATCTTTGCACTTTAAAATTATGCAAATGCAAAGTGCAAGTGAAAGAGTTAGCTACGTTATGATATAGGCCCCAGGCAGAGTTGGGCAGAATACTTTCAAAAAGTATTTGAATACTAAATAGTAAATACTTTACACAAATCAAAGGTACCTATTTGAATACTAAATACTTTTACGTCCAGCACAAGCAAATACTAGATACAGATACATTGAAAAGTATTCAAAGACTTAAAAAAATAAGTATTCAAATACTTTAGAATGTATTCGAATACAGTAAAAAGTATTCAAATACTTGTCACTCAAATACATTAAAAATTTAAAATAGTATACTAGATAAAAGGCTTAATACTACTTAAAAAATCAAGTTATACTTTGTATGGGGTTAGCTTTTTTTATATTTCTAAATTTCTATTGTTATATACAAATTTAAGGGGAGTAAAAGCGTATTATTATTATATTATTATATAGGAGGTACCTACCAGGACCTTTCTTATACCAGTTATATCCTTAAGAATACGTGTATCTATTTTCAAAGCGCCTTTGATTTGTGTAAAGTATTTACTATTTAGTATATTCAAATACTTTTTGAAAGTGCACATGATACGTGCGCCTTTCTGAAATTAATCCTAGCGATTTTGGAACAGATCCATTTTTGACCATCCATTTGTCCGTGTGCATATGATAACTTGTTTAGAAACGTGCGATCGCTTTGAAAATTGGTACACATAGTTTTAAGGATATAAGAAAGGTCCCTATTGTTTTTAAGTTACGTAGAGACTGTCGAGTTCGGTATTCAGATGTCTCGGATTTTTATATTTCATTTTGTGACAATGGAAACTTTCCCTAAACATTTCTAAATTGAAAAAGTACTGCCTTTCGAGGCCGGAAAAAAAAATTGTCTGAGATCGAGAGTCCATAATTTCAAACAGTTTGAAGATTGGGCTACTAGATCAAAAGTTACAGCACTTTCAATTTTTTTTCGAAATTTGTTTTTTGTCCATAACTGTTTATTGAGAGGTCTAATCGAAAACGTACGAATTGTTTTGGATTCTACGCATTTTCTTATAGAATGCGGCCTGTAGAATCCATAATTTCAAACAGTTCCAAGATTGGGCTACTAGTTCAAAAGTTACAGCCCTTTGAATTTTTTTTCGAAATTGGTTTCTACTCTATAACTTTTGATTGAAAAATCTAATCGAAAAAGTACGAATTGTTTTGGATTCTACGCACCAACATTAATAAGAAAAGGTGTTTTCCCGAGAAATTTTGATGCAGTCGATTTTTGGTAAAAAAGGAAGGTTATACACTGCCTTTTTTTGAGGCCCGAAAAAAAAATTGTGTCAGATCGACCCGGAAAAACATTTTCTTATAGAATGTGGCCTATAGAATCCATAATTTCAAACAGTTCCAAGATTGAGCTACTAGTTCAAAAGTTACAGCCCTTTGAATTTTCTTTCGAAATTGGTTTTTAGTCTATAACTTTTGATTGAGAAGTCTGATTGAAAAAGTACGAATTGTTTTGGATTCTACGCACCAAAATTAATAAGAAAAAGTGTTTTCCCGAGAAATTTTGGTGAGTCGATTTTTGGTAAAAAAGGAAGGTTAGGTTAAGTATTCAAATACCTTGCGAAGTATTCGAATACTTTACGAAGTATCCAAATACTTTGCGAAGTAGTCGAATACTAAATATTTGTGAAAGTATTTGAGTTACAAAAACAAATACTGCTTCCATAAAAGTATTTAATTACAAAGTATTTGAATACTTTAAAGGATTTGAATACTGAAAAGTATTTACAAAATCGAATACTGCCCAGCTCTGGCCCCAGGTCCATGCACGTTTATTATGAATCTTGGCTTGCTACTATTCAATATGCCTTAGAATATGTGTTGAACGTAGTCGGAGTTTACCAAAATAACAAATTGCGTCAATTTAGATTGACCCATATGACCTATACGATTTGTTAATTTAATTTATATGGTTTCACTTTTAAAATACTTTAAATAGAGTAAATGCTTGCAAATGTTTAGTTAGCAAAACAGTAGCAAGACCGTTTTTGACAAAGACAGCAATTTTGTTTAAATTTTGTTAGTGTCATACAGTGTGTCCCCGGATTGACTTCACAATACGTGTAATTGATCAAAAATGTTTGAATCCCGTTTTGATATTTTGGGGTCCCGGTCTGCTTGATCTGAAAAGAATTTCAAGCACATTTTTTCTTTTTAAAATCGAAGATGGCTCTGACAAATGAGAAAAACATTTATATTGAGGTAAAGCATCATTTCGGCAGTGTTTAGAATATGAAATTATGTCCATATGTAAAATTTCATAAATATCGGACCACTTTGATTAAAGCAGTAAGTATTTGATTTTCTAGTCTCGCACTTAATTAATTTCAAGCAGATTGTTTTAGGTGTCACTTTAATTTTAATAGCGAGCAATAAAAACTCATTTGTTTTATTTACACAGAGTAGTACTTACTTGTTTTTTGTGATTGCCATATGGATCAAAAGTAATTCGATATTTGTGAAATTTTACAGATGATGGGCATAATTCCATATTCTAAACAACTTTTCTTAATAACAGTGGGCTGTGTATTATTAACCGAAATGGCAATTTACCCCAACATAACATTATTTTTTTCTCAATTGTCACGGCTATCTTGGATTTTAAAAAGTAAAACTGTGCTTGAAATTCTTTTAGACCAAGCAGCCCGGGACATCAACATCAAAACGAGATTCAAACATTTTTGATCAATTACAAATATGTATAATGACACGCTGTATAATTGAAAATGAATGCAAAACTTCTATAGGAAAACTTTTCCTGCCTATTTTGAATGCGACATAAAAGTATAGTCATTGTCCACATATCAAAGTGTAAAAAGTAGGTAATACAGCAGATATGACTATCTCAAAACTGTATAGATAAACGCGTAGGTAACTAATTACTTAATCATATTTTTTCCTAATGAGTAAATGACTGCAATTAGTGTCATCCTAATCAGTGACAATTAAAAATTTGCAGAAAATGGCGCCAATTTCAAGGATAATTTCTCTGAAGGTAATTTTGAGTGCGGCTGCAATAGGTATTGTAAGCGCACTAGCTGTACGCATGTACCAACGGCGCAAAAAGCTAAAGCCGCCAACAACTTGGGAGCCCGTGGGACAGGTAAAAAATTTGTACATATACCCTTTAAAAAGTGGAACACCTATCGAACTTCAAACTGCTTTATGCACAGCATTTGGTGTAAAAACGCCAGACGTACCAAATTTGCACCAATTCAGAGACAGGTCAGTTGCTAGCGACTGCTGCGATATTATTATTTTGTATTTTTAGGAGTTTCGTCGTTTACAATAAAAATGACCTAAAATTCCAAACGGCTAGAACTATACCAAAATTGGTGTTGATCAAAATTGAAGCTGTGGATGAAAATCACATCAAATTCTCTGCCCCAAACATGCCAATTTTAACCATTAAGGCACCAAACAGAATCGAGAACAAAGTTGTTACAATTAGGTAAATATTATAAAAATACAAAAATAAAACTCCAATGATTCTAGTCAACATTTTAATGAAAAGATACCCACAATTGATTGTGGCGATGACGCCGCCAAATGGATATCTCAATACGCATCTGAGCAAAAAATGGAATTAGGAATTGCCTTTCACGACGCAAAGCAGCGTAGAAATCTGAGCAAGACTCACCAGAAGTATTTTGGAATTTACCCAACATTAAGTAACGATGCGACAGTATGGATTAACCAACACACAATCTCCATGTTCTAACCTACTTTTAGGGCCTGCACAGTGATTTTAGCAGTTATCTGCTAGTGGGTGAGTCATCTATAAACGATCTGAAGGACAGGGCTCCTGAAGCAAACATCGATACCCTTAACTTTCGGCCAAATATTCTCATCGAAGGTACCCCTCCATTCGCTGAAGATGAATGGAAATGGGTGAAAATCGGCGATGTGGTACTGTATTTTGTGAAATGGTGCACCAGATGCGTTCTTACCACCGTTAACCCAACCACAGGCATTAAATCTGAACAGAACGAACCATTAAAGACGCTGCGCACGTATGTGCCAAAATTCATAGTTGATATTATTTATGTGTATATTCCTAGGTATCGCATGTTGAAGGATTTAAGAAAGATCAGCGTTGACGGTACTTCTCCATTGATGGGCATTAATATGGCTTATCATTCCGGTGAAAAGATTAACGTTGGGGATGTTGTTTATGTTGGAAAATAAATTTATATCAAGAAATCTATCGTCAAATTTATCTGTTCCTTATGCAATGGTTATTTAAAAATAAAAATAGTATTTTGTAAACATTGTATTTCTTTAGACTACCCCATATGAAAATGAACATTCCTAGGGACACTAGGCGATCTTTGTGAATTCAAGATAGACACATGACCAAAAACTATTTATAAATCTGAATTTGTACCATTTCAATGGTCCTTTTACTTCTCTGTGATCACTGATCAAGGTACCCTAAACCCTTTGACAGCATTCTTTAAAGGATAAAGTAAATATCGTAATACAACGGTTAGCACTATGTCACGTTAAAAATACAAGCTTGGACGAAGTCAGAAGTTAAGATAAAATAAGTTAATGAAGTAAACAAGGTAAGATGAGTTAGCAGACGCCAACGAAACTAACCATCAAGCACTAAGGGGCGTCTTCACAAACGAAAATATCAATTTCCAAAAGATTTCTAGAAAGCTTGAACATGGAACCTGGAAGTTTCCGAAAAATTCATCCTAAAGCTGTACAGATAAAATTCGGACATCAGAACAAACGACAAAGGTCAAGAAGAAGATTTTCTCGATCAAGAGACGGGCGAAAGGAGAGGAATAATTGGAATGGAGAGTACCGAAAGGAATTGGAAAAATCTCAGAAATCGGAACAATCTGAAAGCACCAAACAGGCTGTTAAATATGCAATGCTTTCCGAAGTTTTCAAAAAGTTATAACGAGGCCATAAAATCGCCAGAAAAGAAGAACTGGATGACCGCTATGAACGAAGAAATGGCATCATTGAAAGAAAATTGGACGTAGAAAGTTGTTGAACTGCCGGAAAAGCGAAAATCTATTTCCAATCGCTGGGTATATCGTGTGAAATACGATTCTAACGGGACTGTTTCTCGGTTTAAAGCGCGTTTAGTCGTCAGAGGATTCAATCGGCGAGAAATTTAGAATTAATTAGATTTAATTTACTATTTACTATGTACTTTATTTTTCTTAAGCAGTATATTGTTAGCATGTCATAGCTTATGAAGATTTTGCCCTGTTATTGGTCTTATGCTGCTCATCATTATTAAATTGCACCACTAGCAACAGTGCCAACGCTTCATGTGGACAACTGTACGTACATGTTGCAAGTGAAAATCAAGTTGAGAATATTTTAAGCAAGCAACTCCCAAGAATTCAATTTCAAGGTCTTCAAGAAAAATTGGGGATGTTATGCTGGCTGGAGAGGTCGAATTTTCCTTAGGGTACAAAATTAGGGGAGCTAATTTATCAAATGAGTTTTCTTGGTTTCACACCTGAAAGCAACATTTAGACGTCAATACATAGCAGTATTCCAAGAACAAGTTTTCATAAAGGAGCAATGGCTACATCAATGAAACAAGGTAGAAAAACTCGATCGAATAGGAAGGCACGACATCGTGTCCAACCAAGTAAAAAAACATTGTGTGGGATAAACTCAAATGACGATAGCAGATAGGGATTTGTGGAATAAGATTTACAAAGAGTAGGGTGTGGCCCAAAGACTATTCTTAGAACTGTTATGGTACCGTTTCAAAAAAAAACAAGGGAACAAAGAAATGCGAGGAACACAGAACCGTCGATGTTATTGTACTGTTGCTAAGATTTTGTTGCGGGTGTTGGATGAGGTTGAGGATAATGTTGAGCAGTGGGGGACAATCAATTTGAATTCCAAAGGGGTTTGGGAACCAGGGATGCAATCACAGTTTTCCTAGTTCGTAAGGTATTAAGGTAAATACAGGAGTAGTATAGAACAACCCTTCTACCACATGTTAAGGGATGTATTGGAGGGTTCGGTAGAGGGAAGAAGGCAATCGGCTGTGGGGATGCAGAGGCAATGGACAGGGAGTTTTGGAGGCGGGAACCTGTTACCTGGCAGATAACAAAAAAATTATTACTCCGAGATGGTAATTGAATTTATGCTTAAAAATGTATAAACACGAAACAGACATCAACCAGGAATTTAGACCACTAATATAATATAGTGGAAAACCATTGAATTACAAAAAAAACCAAACCTTCTAAAAAAGGTTTTCACTGTTATATGGAGATGATACTTGGACGCATTCAAGACCAATAAACAGCAAATTTCAAGTAACTATCAAGAAAAGCAAAAAACCAGAAGCGAGGTCAATTTTAGATATTCAATGGAAAAATATGGAGAAAGACCAAGACTAAAGGATACAGAAAGAGTAAAGAATGTCAAGGCCAGCGTAACTTGAAATGAGTCACAAGAAGTTTAAGGAAAAGATGTGCAAAGGAATCTACAAACCAAATTCAAGTGTAATAGACCGGTTGCATTAAAAGAACATACTTCTATAAAGTGATCCCTTTCAAAGAAGCGATGTATAGGTATTACACTGGACTGGTTCTGAAAACCTTCAAGCGACCACCTAGAAAAGCACCTATGAAAATAAATGTGAAAGAATGAAGACACTTTATTTAAATAAATTTATTAGATTTCTATCCACGGTGTTTAGAATGATGCTTTGTATTGTTTTTTAAAAACATTAACTAATACAAGACTTAATACAATATACATGAATTATGTACATATAATACAAATAAAAAATCACTAATAACCATATGTATATTTTATATATAATAAACAATATACTATTTAATACATAATTAAAGTCCGTAGCTAATATAGCTAGGGGAAATCTCCCATTAAGGCTTTATACAACAAATCCATTAAGATTTATAAATTAAACAAAATCAGTATAGAAAGGATAAATTAATTTTTTTAAAGAATGTGTGGTAACGAAGTTAAAAAAGATTGTACTAAGATTCTCATACATCACTATTCTTATATAAATTTTATACACAAGAGTCGTACAGTTTAAAACTGCTAACGAAGAGCATTGACTAAGCTGCTCTAAAAGAGAAGTACAATAATTAAAATTGAGTATTCACAACTGAAACTAGAATTAGCAACAACAGAGACAATTCAGATCTCTTAAGGCACATAATCACAATAATTTAAATAGTTTATCTAAAAATATATTTTACCATAAACGTTATTATTTAGCGAGTGTTTTGTTAACATTCATAAATCTACAAACAAAGAAAGCATGTTTGAGTACCTACGAACATTTTCATTAAATATAAAATTAAATAATTTAGTAACGTTACTTTAGAATTATTAAACCTCAACACCCAATACTCTGTCAACTACGTACTCATAAGGGCCTCGCTTTTCCGATAAGGACACTTTCTCACAACACGTCGCATCACTTTCACTACTTTTACACTGGGACTGTTCGTCCGTTACAATTACGCTAACATTGGAATGGCACTCTTCAGTGGGAAGAATGGGAACGATGGTGTTAACTTTTGTAAAGAAAGCCATTTTCTCTCTGAAAAACAAGGGGATATCAGTATACAGTAAGAACTACAAAGAGCTTACCTAAATGATATAACATCAGGCTTTCCACTTCCCGCTTTGCTTTTTCTTAGTCGATAAATTTCCCTAGAAATTTTTCTTAACATTTTCTCGACCTTTTTCTCCTCAGAAGTTCTTCCTTGCCTATAGGACTCTGCCTGTGACACAAACCGTTGGAACTGCTCATCCTCCAAGACCCAAGAGGCGAGCTCGACATCACCTTGGTCCTTGGCAATTTCTAAACGTTCTTTCAACTCCCTGAGCCTGTCTAACTCGGAGTTTAACGTGTACAGACGCGTATGTTGAGCTTGCAAGTCTAATTCTAAATCTAACGAAGTTCGCGCCGTCGGTGGCACATGGCTGTGAGACTTACTCTTAGATAAACTTAACATCGAACCGGACTGTCGACGAAACCTTAAAGATCGCCTTTCGACCGAATTCCTTTGGAATGGATTGCCTCCTCTCCTATACAAAGGCATTGCACTGTCGCTATCACTTCGATTTAATTTACATATGTAATGATTTTTCGACACCGCGGCACTCGGCGAGAATGTCTGTGATCGTTTAATAACCCCTCGCTCATCTAAGCAGGCGGTACCGTTAGCCGCCGCCAATTTCATTTGTTTCGCGTGCTCCGGGTAAAACGTACACTCGGTATTGGTTTGCTTATCGGTATACCTGTCGTCGTCGTTCTCGCAAGGATCGTAATTCTCCAAGACGACCTCCAACCTATCACCCTGTCTAAAATCGACCGTTATACCCTCTTCATCTTCATCCTCGTCGTCGTCCTCATCTTCAGAATCGTCGCTGTCGTACTCCTCGGAATTTCTCAGACAACTCACTAGCTGTTCGAAATTTAAGTTACTCAACGGATCTAAATGGTCGGTCTCTTGATTTCGCGTTAGCGTCGACGTTTGCGATGAAATTATCGTCGAATCATCCGAGCTTTCTTCCTTGACCGCGGGTTTTGACGCCGATAGCTCGGCTTGCACCACTTCTGATTTTGTGCCGTCTTCGTAGTCCATCAGGCGGAAGCTCAGGATGTTGTACCACTTTTGCGATATGCTTTGAGGGTTAAAATCTGCTAAACTTACTTGAGCGCAACCCTAAAACAAAAAACGATAGGGGTTAATACTTTTTGTTATGCCTTAGTATGGATCAGGCAAGGTCAGCTGAATGTCAAGAAATAACAAAATTGTAGAGGAAAAACAGTAGTAGAGGTTGTGCATCTTGTAGGTTAATTAGGAAGAGTATCTTACAAGGCACTGATCATTAGAAATCTGTGATCTAGTGAAGGTCCGGCGAGGCATGGAAAATCAAAATTCCTTAGCAATGCAGCTGGTGTTCTTTTCAAACAGCTATAAAGCAAATACTTCAGATCGTTTTCAGAATGGGAAAGACACCTAATCAAATGGTGAAAACTCTACCCTCCAAATCTAAATACGAAAGGGAAATCCGGATACGCATCTTCATCTTCCTCTCAAAATTCATAATTAAAAATGTGACACGTCGTGAAATTGGCAACATACCCTGGTCTAAGAATGCAATACGCTGGAGTATCGATGTTTTTTTTCCAACCTTGTGGTTTGCCAACTTTTTTTATGATGGCGCTTTCTTTATAATGATCTGATAAACTGGGAGAATTCTTGTTTTTGATCCATAGCTTATGTGTATTTAAAAAAATACTAATGAGCATATTGCGTCAAGTTAGTTAGCAATTCCTGCAACTAACCAAAACAAATCTATGGGGAATGAAATTACATTTTTAGGTTTTTTAGTAGGTCAATATTGGGTGCTTCTTTAAATACTGTTCCAGAAGAAGGTAAGGTGATTTTAATTGATTGAAGCCAACAAGCACATGCATCATAGAATTTTTAAAGAACCCTTTTAGAGCAAATGCAAAACAACAATCGTGTTGAGAAGATTACACTAAAGTCACTTTCCCACTTTTACCTTCAATATAGTTTTTGTTCTGCACTCATTGGTTTGACTCCACTCATTTACAAAATTGCTGATAATGGTATATGGAAAACTATCTTTATGGGATAGAAAATGTACGACTTTGAAATACCTTTGCTTAAATTTGATTGCTCCGAAGAAGTCCCAGATTCCCGCAGAGTGCGTTTGAAGAAGATAAATAAGGGATTTTGCGCAACAACAAAAAAATACCCCAACAAACTACAATAACAATTGAAACCGTACAGGTTTCAACAACAAAGCTATCATCAGCGAACAACTAAAAGAAAAAACAAGAGAGTGCTTGGCTCTTTTAGTCTTTTTCCAATGATCACAGCTTTACTATTAAAACGCGTGTGCTTTACTTATTATTGTGTTTTCTTGGTGATTCTTTACTTTTTGTTACTAAAACGGTTACAGTTCCAGTGTTTCTACTTTTTCTTGAGATATCTACAAATTTGGTAATACAGGTGATGAATTTTCCTACATGATGTTTACCTCTAAAGAATTCTCGTTCTCAAGTCAGAGTTTCTGTCAGATTCCCGTTTAAAAATTATGTACAATCCTCCAGTGAGGAGGTGAAAGCCTTCTGTTTAATTGTCAGTAGAGATCCTTCAAGAATGTGAAAGAGGAAAATAAAAAACTATTTTAAATTTCAAAATTTTGATTTCAAATTGAATCCGATGGAAATGTGAGCGATTTCAGCCAACCCTGCAAGCTTGCTTAAATGTAATACTTACAATACATCTTTCCTGTTGATCCTCAGTTACACTCCACACGTTGACTTGCAAAGTTTTTGTATATAACTTATTCAAGGGTACGCTCATATTGAAAATATCCCCAAACGTTGGCTTTGCTAAATCTCGAACAAGCTTTGTACTACAAAATGTGGGGACCGAAGGCGAAGACGGTAATAACGCCGCCTTGATGCACCTGCAAAATTCTGCAATAAATTCAATCCGACACCACCCAATTGTGACTTACACTTGCGAATTATCTGGAATGACAAGCGCGTTTAAATTTCGGGCTCGTTCAAAGCATATATTAAGCATATTCTCGTTAAAAACGTATCTTAATTTAATTTGTACTTGTGCCGTGTCAAATAGGTCCTCCGGCGCATAACCGGCTGCCTTTTTCCTGTTCGACGCTTCGAAAACGCCGGAATCGCCCGCGACCGACTCGTCGCTTACCGCTGCCGAGACGGACCTCGTATTCGTACCGGACGAGGACGTTCGCGACAGGGCGATCTCCTGGTGATTGCCGATGGGCGCTTCCGAAATTGGCGATAGTGGTAGATCTCCGACGCTTTCGTAGGAATGGCGAGACGGCCTTCCCAATCCAGATCCTTGTGACATATTGCTCATGTGGGCCTCGAGTAGGTCACTCAACGGTGACAGGTTAGGAACAGGTATTCTTTGTGTGTAATTTGATAAGTAGTCGCCGCTTCCGGTCTGGTTTAGGAATTTGAGTTCGGAGAGCTGCTGGCGTTCGTGTTCAATTTGTTTATAGGAAGGTGGGGGGAGTATCGAGAGGTTTTCGTACATTGGAGAAACAGGCGGGGAGACTGACGATAAGGAACTTCTAGGTGAAAGGGACGGCTGTGACCGACCAGGTGACGGTGTGTTTGTACCACAATCGTTCTCTTTCAGAAGCCTTTCCACCCTCCTGTGTAAATCTACCATATCTACTGGTTTGTCTGTACTTGCTGTGCTCACACACTGCGGACTGCCGTAGATATCTGTGAAACTTAACCCTGAACTTAAAGATCCTTTGCTACTCGTAGTTGACAAAGAACCAAGACTAGAACTGCTGCTGACAGACAAGGTGCTGGCAGAGAGAGTTTTTAATTGTGACTCTAATTGTGTCATCAATCTTAGAGAATCTCGTAATTGTTGTAGAAGTAACTGTTTCTCCTCGTGCAACCTAAGTCGATCGGCGATTGCACGATTTGATACTTCTAGCGCTTTGTTAAGGTCCTGCTCCAAACGTTGACACTCCATTTGAATGTCGAACATTTCCTCTTTCGAACGCGTCCTGGGCGTTATACTTCGCAATTCCCGCAATAACTGCTCTTTTTCTTGGAATAATAATAACCTATCCTTATCAGACTCGACTTGTCCAGGTTGCATTTTTTCCTCAAGGTCTGCTAACTTCCGTTGTATTGTCTGTACACTTTTCCGCGCTTCGTCATATTCTAGCCTCATTTTAGCCATTTCAGCTAACCGAGTACCAATAGGCACAATGTCATACGATAGATCTGTTTGTGATGCGGTACTTAATTTCTCTTGTGGAAGACTTAAAGTTGATACTTCAGGAGAGCTCTCACATAACTGCAACCTTGTAAGGTCATCTTTTAATTTCGCTAATGACTGCATTAACTCCACTTTTTCCTTTTCCCCGGATTCTAATGATTTTTGTATGTTGTGCAATTCAGTCATTATCGCTTGCGCTTCAGCTATATTGTAACATCCTCCTTGATGATTGCTTAATTTTTGCTCAACTCTAGGAAATAGAAAAAAATTAAACCAATCTGATCTCGTCTGTCAAGTAAGGGACTTACATTGCTAAAGTTTCTACCCCTCGTTGCGTACAGTTCATTTCATTTCTAATTTGTTCTAATTCGCGCTTTAGCCTTGACACCCTATTTTTTGCCATGGCAACATCGGATTTGAGCAGATCTGGATCGTATTTTGTACTTACACTACTAGTAGACGAACATACTGAAAAAATAAAAAGTGGCGTGCATTTCGGTTTCCAATTCTGGTAAGGGAACATTTTTGTAGGAAATTATTGAGTCACAAGCGCTCTTATCGTGTAAATGAAAGGAATTTAATCGGAAGATAACTACATATTAGATTAGAAAATAACATGTGAACTTGGTACGGGATGAAATCATCAGCAGAATACTTACAACTTGTTCTTGACGTATTAAGGGCGGCCAAGGCGTTGTTAAGGTGGTTGTATTCATCTTGCGCCAAAATTAGCCTCTGTGATTTTACATTGTATATATCTTTCTTAGCCTGTAACAAAGAGAGAAAATTGATTCGGTTGTTTCCCACAAGAATTTTGTTTAGAAGAAAACAAAACGCACAAATTCTTATATAGCATTGTAACCTTGGTACCTACATCTATATAAATTAAAAATGAGTGTTTGTATGTGGTGTCTCTTATGGCTGCCTAAACCGTTCAATCAATTGCGATGAAACTTTGGGAAATGATTGAACGTATTGTATGCCCGCGAAGGTTTGTGTATAAATAAATCGGTATGAACTTCGGTGGGTGTGAGAGGTGAGGCGCAGAAGCCGGCGAAATTGAGCGTTTGTTCCCAGAAAAAGGATACTAACAGAATTCGCAACTCGCGGTAATGTTATGCAAAAACTGCAACTCGCGCAGTGCAGTGATTAAGTTTATAGAATTGTAGTAACGTGTTTTAAAATGTATTTGTACTTGGTAACAAAATCACAACGGTCACATTTTAAATGTTAAGATGTTCTTCAAGACTGGATTTATGTTTTCTGACGAAAGCGCACTAAGCACATTTCAAATCCGTGGTGATCTTGTATGTTCATAAATGTGTTAGTCTCGTGTGTTAAAATGCCATTGCGTATATGCGTTGTTCTAGTTACAATCTAGGCAAATCTAGCAAGTACACCATGTTCCAGAGCTTACTACAAATCTATTGTCTGTAAGTCCATTAAGTAACAACAGGAATTTTCAATGTCCATAGTATGAATGTGGCAAAGGCTGAATTGACCTACAATGTTTATAGACTATGTAAAATGTTCACTGACAGCATTTGCATCTTATTTGTTGACTTCTTGTGAGTTATGGCGCAGGCATTTTGCCCAGTAAATAACAAAGACCTGAATATGATCAAGAATAGTACAGTAGAGGAGTAGAATAGGTGAACTTCGTCAAGGGTAAACAGTCGAGGTTATCATTTAAAAATAATAGGAACAGAGCTACGAATCTAAAAAGTGTTTTCCCGAGAAATTTTGGTGCAGTCGATTTTTGGTAAAAAAGGAAGGTTGTACACTGCCTTTTTTTTCGGGCCTCAAAAAAAATGGTCTCAGATCGACCCGGAAAAAAAATTTTCTTATAGAATGTGGCCTGTAGAATCCATAATTTCAAACAGTTCCAAGATTGGGGTACTAGTTCAAAAGTTACAGCCCTTTGAATTTTCTTTCGAAATTGGTTTCTAATATATAACCTTTGATTGAGAAGTCTGATCGAGAAAGTACGAATTGTTTTGGATTCTACGCACCAAAATTAATAAGAAAAAGTGTTTTCCCGAGAAATTTTGGTGCAGTCGATTTTTGGTAAAAAAGGAAGGTTGTACACTGCCTTTTTTTGAGGCGCGGAACAAAAATTGTCTCAGATCGAACCGGAAAAAAATTTTTCTTATAGAATGTGGCCTGTAGAATCCATAATTTCAAACAGTTCCAAGATTGGGCCACTAGTTCAAAACTTACAGCCCGAAGTTATGCATGGGGGTTTATACGGTTTTATGGAAGTTCCATCTATAAGGGGATCCAGATCCTTTTTAGCGCATTTCCACAAAAATAAAAAAAAATGCGCTATTGTGGCCACTTTGTCCGTCCGTCCGTCCGTCCGCTAAACTTTGCGACGCTACTAGTTTTTTATCTTAAGAGCTATTGTTCTACTTTTTTCGCTATTTGGTTCGTTATGGTGTCGAGTCTTGTACCAAGGAAGGAATTTTTTTCTGTACCGCTTACAAAAAAAGTTATTGTAAAAAAAACAAAAAACCGTTTTTTACATGTTCCATAATTTTACACTTTTGCCGTTTATTAACGGTCCTAGAGATCGTTTATAATTTTGCATTGCTATCTGTCGCCTGCCGGTTGGTCTCTCCGTCTGTTCCTTTGTCTGTCTATCCATCTATCTGTCCGTGTGAACGATAACTTTGTTTAGAAATGTTCGATCGCTTTTACATCTCCGTTAGTTATGAACTGAATTGCATGAAATTCAATATGGACATAGCTTTAGCCATATAATACGCAATGCCAAAAGTTGAATCGAATCGATTCAAAATTCACAGTGCCCTTTTCGCATCTCGACCATTTATAAACCGAATTGCAAACTTTTTTACTTATAAAAGTATTTGAATGAAATTTGATACATAGGCACTTTGAATAAAGGAAAATCAAACGCCAATTTCAAAATTTGGTTTTGCGCATGCGCAGTGCCAACTTTTTTATTTATGGAAGAATTTAAATGAAATGTGATACATAGGCACTTGGAATAGAGAATCATCGAGCGCCAGTCTCAAAATTTTCTTTTGCGCATGCGCAGTGCCAACTTTTTTATCTATGGCACCATTTAAGTGAAATTTGATACTTAGGCGCTTGGAACAAAGGAAAATCTAACATTAGTTTAAAAATTTAGGTTTGCGCATGCGCAGTTCCAACTTTCTTATTTAGAAAAGCATTGAAATGAAATTCTTCTCATAAACTGAAATTGAAGTAACACGTCAAAAATGGATTGCCCATGTGCAACGCTATCTTTCATATTTGTGGCCGGATTTTTACGATTTTAACAGAAGTTGCATCTTACAATTAATGAGAAATGAATGCAAGTGGAAATGCGCTTTATGTAAATCGTTTACGATTACTTTTTAACTTGTTGGCTCTTGAGGACGATTTAATCAGACTGATGGTGACACGTTCAAAGAGTTTAAGTCGTTAGAAGAAAATTAAAAAAGGGTCAAAATAACGGGGGAGCTTTGCAGTTGTGTCTGAGAAGTTTTTAGATTTAAATGGCATAGTTCATCAAAAGACTAATGTTGATATATTTTGCACCGCACATGTTCATTTTAGCACACAAGATTACCAAGAATTTAAAATGTGTGTGTGCGACGAACGATAAATCTAATTATAAAATACATTTATTAACATACAAAATCACCAAGGATTTAAAATGTGACCGGTGTGATTTGGTCACCAAGTATAAGTCCAATTTTAAAACACATTTGTTAATTACGAAACATTAATGTCAAATGCGCTTGGTATGAACACCGTAAACCCCTTTATTTTCTAAGGAAATACGACGTCACACGCCAGTGAAATGCCGGGAACGTCAACTCAGTGCGCATGATCGGCATTCTACTGTTGTCTATATCTCTGTCACCGTATGTTGGCACAGATTTAATGGCTGTAGGCTATTTCCATGGAATATACAAGGGTAGTCTTTTTTCACTTTCGCTATGGGCATCTCGTAAACCTTGCGTTCACTACACAAACCCGTAGCGATTTAACAAAATTATTATGCTTTGTGGGTTTCCAGTAAATCACACCGACTTTTTTATTTCTTATGGACGCCATATTGAATTTGTATGTTATACGATAGAGAACAAAAATTACAAAACTGGTGATACTAAACCCTTGTATTTCATTTGGGAATTAATCCTCAATTTATGCCTTAAAGCTTAAGATGTATATGGCAATAATTCCATGGCCATGTTGATTGTTACTATGCGAGACAATAAACGAATGAATTTGGTTTCAATCACAATCGACCATGGAATTATTGCCATAAGAAAGAACCACATGTAAACTACAGGGCAAAAATTCAAGATTGATTCCCAAATCAAATACTAAAGCGGGGTTCATACCGAGGCGATATACGATAGGCAATATATCGCAGGCGATACGTGATTCGCATGAACACATTCTTGAATTCAAAGGGGGGTGGGTTCGCCATCGCGCGATATCGACCGGTGTATATATCTCCGTAGCGATATATCGCCTCAGTATTGTTTAAATACTTTATTTAAACAATGGCCTCAGTATGAACTTATCGCTTCTGAATGTCATTTTTTCAATTTATCGAGTGACTAAAAAATTCAACGTGGCGTCCATAATATATATGATAGTTGATGTGATTTGCTCGAAACCCACAAGTCATAAAAATTATATTTTAGCACCATTAGAAAGCTGAGAAGCCACTAAGGGTTTGTTAAAATTATTTTTTGATATCTTTGAAAATAAGTGAACGTCAGGGCATTTGGAAAATTACATTTTTGGTTTTTTTGGCTTCGCTATTTGTAGGGCACCAAGAAATTTTGATTGGGAAAATGAATCCGCATACAATTCTGCATATTTTGGCCCATTTACATTCGTGGGTGGATTCTCCTTCCGATACTTTTGGGCTACCAAAAAATTTTTGCAAAATAAATCCAAGTTGGAAACGCGTCCTGAGAAAAATTCCCAAAAAATTGTACATTTTTCGATTTTGTACAAAAACGCTGAACCTCAGGATGACTTTGCCCCTTCATGAGAATCATTAAGATTATGCATGGATAAATCTTGTTACTGAGCGGGAATTTACCAGAAATAAAAACTAGGAGTAGTAGTTAGATTAAGAAACAAGTATATAATCAAGACTTAAAGCACGCGCAGCGAGTTTTTAAAGGCACGGCGCGTTTTTTTTCAAATATAAGTGCGTCGTTACGTCCATACAAAATCTCCACTGGTCCAAAAACAACGTAAAATCTCCACCAAGGATTTAAATTTAAAAAGATGTGGATGATGTATAGATCTGAACTGAACTAGAAAAAATAATTTGCTAACTATATTTTTACACCAACCACTTCTTTGTTAAGTAATTTTGAATGGTTAGATATTTTATTAAAATATTTTTCTAGGGGATCTCAAAACGATTAAAAAGGGTTAAATTAGAAAATAATCTAACGCTGATCTAACGCCATGCGTGCAATTTAAGTGTGCCTTTGATCCGTGAGAAGAAAATTGTATTTTTTTGTTAAACTACGAGTATGCGTATTTCCAAAATATTGAGAAGTTTCTAAATTTAATTAGAGCAACAAAACAGAGATCGAAGGTCGCTGGAGTCCAAAATTTCAGGATAATACTTTGTGGAATTGTTTTATGTAGATCTACTGTGACCCAAATACCTCAAATTTACTTTACAAAACAAAAGCATTCAAACTATAATACATAATAATCGATAGCAAAGAGGAGATAGCTACTGAAAAAAATTTAGGTTCGCAAGTACTCACAATTTTCGTTGGAAAAATGGTCGAATGGTAAACATAAGAAGCTGGTAGCGTCAAAAATGTTGGTATTTGATGAGTCGGTAGCGAATACTGCGCCGGCAGAGTATTTTGTTGAAACAATGCAAGATGTCGGTTATGAAAAAACTCATTCGGAACACGCACATAATACGAGGGCCACATCTTACGCACAAGAAGGGTCGAATAACACTGTACCAAAGCGACCTTGGGTCGTCCTTCGCACCCTGCGGTCCGGGCCACTTTAATTTCCGTGTACATTCCAGGGGTCACGCGAACCTCTTAGGTTAAACCGCCTTAAGCACGCATTGTTCCAACGGATTCCTCGAAGAGAGCCTCACCGCATCCTACCTTTTTAATTAATGAAATTCTACCTACCTAAGGGGAATGGGGGTTGCCGAATTTCCTCTCCCAGAGCAGGAAAAAAGTAAGCCATTTAAGGCGCTTTAAAATAAAATATTAGAATAATTTCAGGCATTCGCCTCGGGGCGAACGTCAACGTAAAAAAAACTTGATCTTAATAACTACTTTATTGTCGGAATGCACATCTACGCCTCTGGAATAGAAAATCTGGTCGTCTTGAATAATCATCATCATCATTATCATCAAAGGAAAGAATGCGTTTTCGGAGACGGTCGGTTACAACCGGTGTAACCCAGAAGGAATGTTGCGGCTACTCTGCGTAACACAGGTAGCTACACCTTTAAAAGTTATTATCCTTCTAATGCACGAATCCCCCCATTGTTTTTTTTTTGGACACGACTGATGAACTGGTAGGTAGTGTCTTTTTTTATTTTTTTTTTTAAACATCTGAAATTAACTCGTTTTTAATAAAGTAAAAAGTTTAGAAAGTTTTTTATTCAAATTGCGGCAAATTAAAATTTTTCTTTAGAAACTAATTATTAAAATACAAACTTGTAGGTAGTTAATCAACTATATTATATTATAGAAAAAAAATACCATTAATTTTTGAAGATCAAAAAAATTCTCAATTTATAAGGAAGGCGTTTTATAAAACTTAATTAAAATTTGCGAAACGTCGTCAACATTTTGACAAGGAGACATCTCATTAGACATAGAAAAGATATTTGAGCATTAAATTGTAAATCATCAAACAAAAAATAGTGCAAAGGTCACCGCTGACGCAATTAAAAAATCCAACGATTTTCGAGCGAAAATGTAAATAAAAACGATGGACGTCATGTTAGCAGCTAAATATAAGTCCAGTTGTTTTAAACTAGTGTTACAATGCACTGAATTAAGTATGAAATTGTTGCACAAAATTTGCTTATTCTTTTCCCTGCTCTACTAATGAGGTTATATAGCGTGTTCCCGAGTGTCATGCAATGTGGTTTTCATTGTAAACAAATTTGCGGTAACTATTTTACATTTTACAGACCGAAAATATTCACTAAAAATGTAGTAAACGCACTGTAACGATGCAGCTAATTTGAATCCTGGCTAAGTGCCTTCATTTCTAGGAAGAATTTCGGGTACTTTCCTGCAAACGATATTGAGGCGTAATTTTAAATACGCCACCAGTATTGTTTAAAAAAGGCTAAATTTACCAATATCCAGTTGCTACCTATTTTTTACTTGCAGTAAACGTCAACCAGAACTTTCCTTACTCACAATTCATAAGTGAATTTCGAATCCCATAAAAAAATCGAATAACCCATTACTTACATACACTTCCATTGCTCGCCTCCTTTGGGCTTAATCGTATCGACCCACCTTGTATGGAGAAGTAAACCTATAGTTTTCATTATTTATGCACCAAAGGAGTACCTATATCCGTTTTTAGCGCATTTTTGCAAAAATTTTTTTTTGTAAAAAGTAGCTTTTAATCTCACTTTGGCTGGCTGGCTGGCTGGCTGGTCGGCTGGCTGGCTGGCAGTAAATGCGCGCCCGTAGAAAAACGCTTGTAAAAAGACAAGGAGTGTACATGTAACTATCGGGGCCGTGTAATTAAGAACGTTAGGGATGGGGTTACAAGATTTGGAATCGACGACATCTGGACGCCATCCCCGAGCGTATTATACTAACCTGGAGATTTTTCAGTTTTTATCTATCTTCTTCTACAGTTTTTCTCCGATTGTTTTCAAATTGGTGTCGTCGGGAAGATCTTGTCAACGCGCACAACTCCTGCGTGGCGGAATTTTGTTTTTTTTTCCTAGGGGCGAAATAAACCCCCTTTTGCGCGGCGCGCTTCGAGGGGTAGTCGACTTTGGGCGCCCAAAAGTTTCTTACAGCGCGAATCGCGGTCTCTCTTTCTCGTGTCACTAATAGAAGGTCGAGCTATGTGAAGTACCCAAAAGTTGAATACGATTTTATGCCGGGATTTTAGCGAAATCTACCAAAATGTGAATTACGAATGAACGGGACGTCGGAACTGTGTATCGACAAAGGGAATGTGATAACCCCCGACGAGATCTTACTGATGGTGGAGTCGAAACTTCAAATCCGAATTGTTGCGGGTGATCAGAAGTGGGTGTCGACAAAGGGAATATGGTAACCCCCGACGAGATCTTACTGATGGTGGAGTCAAAACTTCAAACGCGAATTGCGAGTGCACGGTAAGTGAGAAAATGGTACCGACAAAGTGAACGTGGAAGCTTTCGGCAAGATCTTATTGATGGTGGAGTCAATATTGGCTAATAAAACACTGATCTGCCACACAAAAATGCGCTGAAGTCCCTTCGATCTCACACGAGGACTTTGATCATTTTTTTACAACTGTTCTTTTCTCTCAATTTGTTTTTGATTAAAATAATGCACTACCTACTCCATTTCATTTCAAAAAATGCTCGTAAAGTGATAGATAGGCTGGAGAGGTCGTGCTTTTTCGAAAACGACAAGGGTTGCGTCGTAAAAAATTCAATATTCCAAGGGTGGAATATATCCGCCAAATAATATCTTGGAAAATGTTTGCACTACTTTGCTCTGGCCAGGCTTGGTTTTCTGCAAGAAATAATCTTTCGAATTTAATATGCTGTGGCCGTGTTTCCATTCACTTTCTCAACAACCTATAAAAAAGAAAGCAGTAATTTAGGAAGCACGACCTTACAGGACGCATTTTCGGAGTGTTCAAATTGGGAATCAGAAATGGATCGGAATCAGAGTCTGACGGCTACCCCCTCGCTGGGTTTTTGCGGATATTGGATTATATTTAATCTGATTATTTAATTATTCTTTGCCAGTAACCAACAGACCCGTGCAAGCACTCGTGGCATCAAAAACCGTTTGTTAACCCTGCTCGACACAATTTTCGGCAATTACATAAACTCTCGTGTCATAAGGTACTGATGAAAATGTTTGGGAAATATTTCGGAAATAGAAGGTTTTGAAAACGTTAAGACGAGAGATTTCCAACATACCTCGGAAAATGATAATGTGTGTGATTTAGCCCTCGGTCACTTTTATTGTTTAAACCAAGAATGTTTGTTGAGTATATAAATGAGGCTGCACTACACCGAATTTGAGGGGGAGGTGTCGTCCATATGATATGCTTCCATTAGTCTCCTCTTTTGCATGTAATTTCTTTAGTTAATTTGCAAATTTTACTTACTTGATTATATGAACTACATCGTTAGTACTACTCAAATTACTCCTATTGTGTGTTATGATTATTCAAATAGTTTTCAATGTCATTTTCCCGCTTCACTTCATTTGCCAGGATGACCTGAGCACGAAACAATTTTAAAGCAACGATCATGAATGCGAAATAACGATGTTTTTACAACACGTGGAATTTCTCTTATGCAGAAAGTCATGCTCGTGCGATATCATGTTTTACGCGTGCTATAGCAATATTAATTACTCATAGAACATTTTTGATTTGTAAAATACGGCATTTGTTTTCGAGGTGTAAGCCACATCAGTAAGTGGCATTACGCAATCTGAGGCTTAATCGAGTTTCTGGCGTGACTTGTAATGAGGACAATCAATTAATGATACACAGCAGTTTTGGACAAGCCGATCTGTTTTAATCATTGTATTATAATTTGGAACGATTCAATTTCAACTGAGAAATTGGACGAGTTAATAGCATTTTATTCGAGCTGCATGACCTATTTGGATTAACGAGTGAGCAATTCATACTTTATCGTACGATACCTACATAACTGATGAACCAGACTAGATAGTCGCGTGGAATGCGCCCTTTTGCGCAATTTCTGACGCAAATCAAGATTACAGCTTGTTAACGTAACATTAAATAACAAATATTTATTATTTCAAGTAAATCTAACCACAGCGGAATGCGGCTGTCAGAACCTCCCGACGAATATAAATTACACACACACACACATTCGAAAACCAGTTTATGAAATTTTTTGATAAGTAGATATAATACGCGCATTAGAAAGTTAACTTACCTCTAATAAATCTTGTGCAGTTTGTAAATATTCCCTAAGCATAGCCTCCTGTTCGGTCCGCCACTCTTGCCTCGGATCTTCTAATTGCGTCGATTCTGAAACCAAAATTCTTCGTAAATGTTTGCTTATGCAGTAATTGCGGTTTACGTAATAATTGACCGTCGTAAATTTCGCGAATAATTATGGCATTTTAGTGGTTTCCGGTATGTTAAAGTGAAAATGGGAGTTCCTTTTCATTTTCAGTATGTCAACGATGATGGAACACGCTCTGGATTCAGTTTTTTTCCATAAACTTACAATATTCTAAACGTACTCGGAATCACGTTAATTTTTTGTTCTCCCTCACTGATCTTTTACTCCTAACCCTAAAATGAGGGACCGTAAAAACAAGGAAGACCATCTTATGTTTCGATGTGCACTTTGTAGTTCCTATGTCCGCGATAAGGGGACACTATGGGAAGAGATACAAGCTGGGCTAAATGGGAGAAAAATTGAGCAATTACCTAAAGGTCTAAGAAAATAGCGTTTAGCAAAATCCCTTGTTATTTGAAATATTTAGAAAAAATCTTTCGATTTTACGAACAATTTTTTTCTGGCATTAATTTCACCTAGAGCAAAACCAATTCGACATTTCTCCGCAGCAACTTTTAATGCTATTTATGGTGGAGCTGTTAATGTTTTAATTCCACGTTTCGTCTGCGGAATCATCATTAACTTCATTATTTTATACACGTCCCTGATAACCCGAAATCATATTATTAAAGCCCTTTTTATTCCTAATTTAATGATGTATCATTTAATTGCGGTAGCTCGTTTTCTGGATTTAATTAAGAAAATTCCTATTGTAGAAGGGTTTCAGTCATGTGAAGCTTTTCTTCATTAGAAAACATAATAGATAAAATTATTCCAGTCCATAATGGTCGAAATGCAAAAAAGTTACTGAATGTTGAATCGATTAGACCTAACTTTTGGAATTGCGTATTATATAGGCTATATAGCTATGCCAGTATTCAATTTCATGCAATTCAGAGATGTCAAAAGGGTCTTCCTTATTTTTTGACCTACATTGCCAATTCACGAACTCCGATCCACAAATTTTATAAAGAATCCACCTAGAAAATTTCATCGTAATCGGTCCATTCGTTATTGAGATATCGTGCTAACGGACGGACGGACGGACAGACACCGCAAAATTATAAACTCGCTAGGAGCTCGTTAATAAAAAGAGTCATATGCTGCACTTTTAATTATTTTCGTTGCAAAGGCTTGCAAGTTTCCACATTCCAAGGTATCGTGATCTCAAGGGTTCATGATCACTTGATCTTGTATTACGAGGTCATCGGAACTCGTGTATTAATTCTCGACGGTGTCATAAAGGGCGAATCAAATATTATGTAAAACAACATTTTTTTTTAAATTTCAAATATTTCGGTCACCACATTTCAGTACAATACTAATTTTCAATTTTCCTAAAGAAAATTAAAATCTGTGGTTGAACACCGCTGGGAAAATTGGAGTACAAACATTCTAAGATGGAATGCTATAGCTCTAATGGTAGTTGTCCTGCCTCCGACTGCTGTCTAGTTACATGTAATCAGAACAGGTCAATTCGCCTGTAGCGGTAAAAAAAAACTACAAAAAATATTCTGTCTTGACGTATATAATTTACATGGTTTTTTTTCTGAACCAAAAGCGTAATACGTACTTTTTTAAATAAAGAAATAACTGAATATAATTATTACTCAGTTCAGTTAATTAAGGATACGTTAATGCATATGACTGACTAGTAATGACATAATTAAGTAAACTGTAGTGGGACATTTTTTTGCCTCGTAAAATGTGATCCAAAGTATTTAAAATCAATTAGCGCGTAACGATCGAGTTTCAGTCTAATCAGGCTAGCGGCATTTTTGATCTTCCCCCTCGACGAAAGGAAGTGCACGACGAATTTGCATCATTGTTGCGAATTGGGGTTATTAATAACAAAACTGCTGCAGACGTTTCCGGTCGTACGGGAAGTTTGCTGGAGATTTGTTAGTTTGACACACTTTTCCCAATTTGCATGGAAAATTTGAATATCCACATCTTTAGGTTCTTTTTTGCGTTCACAAAATAGGCGCTTTCGTTGACCTTTTGACGATTTTGACTGGTAATTATTTTCTAAAATAAATCGGAATTGGGAAGGGTGACGGGAAATTCTTCCGCCAAAAAAATAAAAGAAATGGGAAAAAATGTATTTCCGCAAAAGTAATGAAAGTTACGCAGGCCCATAAGCGAAGTTGAAGATCAGGCGGAAGAGACAAAAATTTGCATCGTAATTTAATACATCAAGTGCCACACCTATCGCCCGGGTCAATTATGCCACAAAAAATGGCATTAATTGCAAAAGATTCTATTTCTTGTCAATGTTTAAGGGGTAAACAAAACCAAATTTGCAAAATCCTTTCACGGTGCATCTAAAAATAAAAATGGTTATTGCCGATTTTATAAAGAAAAAAAGTTACAAGGCTCATTTGAAACTAAAATTACGCGGGACACTAGAAAAGTACTTGACACACCTCGGCATAAAACAAAAGACATACGATGTTGATACTTGATACTTTGGGATATGCCTGGCGTAGCCGCCTGATTATTTTATTTTTCAAAGTACTCGTAGTCTCCCCTAACATCGATGTACTTAAGCCATTTGTCTTTTAACTAACAAATAACGGTGGAAAAAAAATTACTGCCTTATCTGCTAAAAAAGTCGTCAACAGCAACTTGTAAGCAATCAACCGAGTCAAAACGGCAGCTCCGAAAAAGTTAAAAATCAGATGGCGCCAAATCCGAACTGTAGACAGGAGGGTCGCATTATTGCAGAATTGGCTTGATTTTGGGAAGTCATATGCACAGTTGCACTGTCGTGCAGCAGAAATATTTTCTGATTGGTTTGAGAGGGTCGTTTGTGAAGATTTTGTAAAGTGTCTCAATTTGAATGGCGCTTGTGTTGATAAATAGCCCAAGAGTGTAGGCCCCGAATGTATATAATAATTAATAATAAATTTTCTTTACCTACAAGTTTAAAATTTTTTATTTCAAAACGTCTGCTACTTTCTGGACAACCCTCGTAACTTCATGAAGTAATTGATGAAGAAATTGTTGATGTTAAACTAGCTTAAGAAAGTTGACATTGCGCAGTATGCGCATGAGCACATCAAACGTAAAGATTTTTCTTGGTTGAGGGGGCAGAGCTACCAAATGCAAAATGAAACGACGGACGGATAGTGTCCATATACCGCCTTCCAAGTTGGAAAATGCGCTAAAAAGAACATATTCTCAAACTGCTAAAAACCAAAATGGCGTCCATAAGAAAAAACAAAATTGCCACGTGTTTCGTCGTCATAAATTATTAATGCCATATTCGAATTCTCCAAAAACAAAAATTGTCTGAATAATGTTTTGGTTAGAAATGTCTTGTATACTTCCTACTATTAACTAATCATGAAAAAAATTCAATTTTCGTTTTTTTGCGGTATTTTTAAAACTATTGAAGATATTTTAAATTTCTTTTCAGATTACAATTCAGTAAGAAAATTCGCAACTTTGCTCTCATTTAACCAACTTTCTATCTCTTAAGATAAGCCAGATCCCAATAGTGGCATTCGAAGACCGGACACGCTGCAGATATGGTCTCCGCCACAAATGCATAGTAAGACAAAAAATTAAAATTCATTTAAAAGAATGTTGGTCTCCTAAAGCTAATATAAGGTTTTGTTATGGTTCCGTAAATAGGATGAAGCAGAACTGGTTACCAGAAAATGACAATTTTAGAAACTTTAAAATGTTACAGGGTGCAAACTCTCTCAACTGAACTTTACTAATTATTATTTTGACTGTAGGTACTTTATGGTCTCGCCCCTCGTGCAAAACTGCTATTATTTCGCGATAACAATAAAAATTACAAACAAAAATAATGTATTCAAGAGAGTCCGAAGAAAAATCTTCCTACTATCACGCGATCAATAAACGCCAGATGTTTAAGAGTAATGACGTCTCAATTACGGACCATATAAAAGTAATAACTTTAAACTATTTTTAAATTATCACTTTTACAGTGGCGATTAAGAGAATTATTTCGAAACCGTAAGGACCGGAGACACGGGAGCGCTTTAACTCTTTAAACACAATTGAAAGTTGAACGAACCTCTTCGCCAGACGACGACGCGGGATGAAAAAAGAGAAAAAAATTCAAAATACTTACGACCCATGTGATTTATGAAGTAGGGCCCTATTTGTCCATCATATGCTTCTTCCCATCCGATGGGTAGTTCGTTGCCGACGCAATCGGCGAATGTCTGTGGTTTCGTAAATCTGAAAAAGCAATTAAAGATCTCAAAACTGGTTTCGTAACAAGAGTATGCTTTTAAAGCCATTTAATCCAAAAAGTTGATAACACTTTGTTATTAACAGTTATAAGACTAAAGTGGATATTTATCGGTAATTATCTATAATGATCTATCTATCGACTAGGTACTTGGGCTTGAGCTAGATAATCATTTCCTTCATTCCTATAATTTTTCAATAAGTAGACTAATTCGCGAATACAGTTACAGTCTAAATCAAAAAGCTAATTGCAAAATTATTATTTGCATTTGCATTGACGGGAGCGGAGAAGAAATTGAATTTAAATAACCACGAATAGAATTGTGCGCCTTTTTCGGATGTTGTTAACCTCTTGTCATTTTATTTATAGAATGTAACGGAACTTTTTTCGAATGTTTTCAGTTTATGCGAATCAATAAAGTGGTCGAGTAAAAACGTAACCATTTATTTAAAAAAAACTCGTTTTCGAACAAATATAAACGGGAGAGAGAGCGAGAGGGCCGAACTGTGTCGTGTCCGTCGCCGACGTAGAGCGCGCAATGGAGGTTCCAGGCACTTAAACTCTCCTGTGCTAAAATTAAATTCCATAAAGCGGTGATAAGGCGGTATCGTAAAGATAAATTGTGGTATGTGACCTGCAAGGACGTATGATGTGCACAAATATAATTATCTTGTTTATAATTGTGTATATTACGAGAGGGAACGCAAGCAAGATATCACTCCACCTTTGGAATGATTGCAGGAGATAATTTCACATTTTTCTATTAACTGGCAGATATTCGTATCTAAACCTAAACATCGGCAATTTAAAAAAACAAATAAATAAGTAACAGGAGTCACCAAGTAAAAAATTCCATGCATCCCCAAGTTATCCCATGGTCTAGCAATAGATCCATCAGTGAAAAAAAATCTTAAATGCACGGAATGTACAGACTCTGACAAAGGTAATGATCGCCGAATATGTAAATACTGCAACATATGCAACCAACATTTGAATCTATTGTGCAACTTGGAAATGCGAACCAACAAATTAAGGTATCTTCTCCGTAAAGAAACCGACGGAACCCGTTGTGTTGTGATAGGCATGTTGGTTGCTTACGCTGCAAAGTAACTATTAGGCAATCATTACTTTTGTCAACGACCGTACAAAGAGCATACTTCTAAACCGTAGCGTTCATTTTCGTTTTGAATGTAAGCCATCGCTATCAACCACTCTTGCCAGACTGACATTTGCAGCACGGTACGACGATTCTCCCGATTGTTATTACAGAGCAACGTCATGTCTGACAGAAACAGCTTCTGCGCTAAAAAAAGTGACCACAATTTTTAAGCTAAAAAACCGAAGGTAATATCTAAATCAATTAAAGTTGTTACTACTAACAACAAACATAAATGTTCATATAATTAGAGTACGAACATCCCCAAATTGAACTTGCCTGCTGCATTACCTTCATTTCAGAAAAACGGCTAAATAAAAAAAAAAATTTTTTAATGAATTTTATTGGCGTTATTTAAGGGATGATAAGTGGAAATTTAATAACGCAATGTTATGCAGAAGATTACATTTCTCGTTCAACGGCTTTTATATACCCTACAAACAGTTAAGTTATTGCGAAAAAACCGAGTCATTTTGGACAATGCGCTGGGGTTATTTTATTTTCAAAAATGTCAAAAAATAATTTTAACAGAACCCTAGTGATTTTTTCCTTAGCTTTCTGGTGGTGCTAAAATGAGTATCGAATTAATCACATCAATTTTCTGATTTCTGATGGACGCCATATTGGATTTTTACGTCAACCGTAAATTGAATGTCAATCATCCACCGATCCGGCGTTTTTGGTCGATACAGATATCGGCCGATATTGCTATGCCTGAAGGCCGATACCGTTAAAATATCGGCATATCGGCCATTTAAAAAAAAATTAAGATCTTGGACATTTCAATTTTGTTTAAGTTGCGAGATAATATGCAAGTTATGATACTGAATCAAAAGACATACAGACAGACAGACGACGGAAAATCGAGCATTACCTCAACTTCGTTGTGTTACGCTAAAAATTAAATGCCCTTAAAGGATAGTTATGTGAAAATGTACGTAGCATGATTAAATGGCCCCTCCATATGAAGAGGATTATATATTATGCTCGCCAGGAGAGAATGCCGGCCACAGAACACCTAGTACCGGTACACAATCGTGAGCGGCATTCTCTCCGGGCGAGCATAATATAAATCATTTTTTTATATCCTCGCTAGTTTCCGCAATAATCGACTGCCTCACGATAAATGTGTATATACATTAATTAAGTGACATTCAAATATATGATTAAGGAACGTAGTCGCAACTCACAAAAGAAATTACCGCTACACCCTCGACTACCCCCGAAGTTGTCTCGTTTATGCAGGTGCAGTTACACACCAATAAATCCATCCCATGAAACTGATATCTTTTCTAAATTTAGTTGTGTTTCAAACCACCCTCTTCTGGCTGGGGGTATTCCATTCCCAGAAGAGGGCGGTTTGAATGTATGGAATACCACCTAGTCAAATGAGAGTAGTTTAATGTTAAGTTATCATTATCACGTATGGATCACAGGTGAGGGGGCGCAGCTTATAGATTTATTGTTAATAAAATATTTAATTTGATAGAGAAACTTGAATTGCCAAATGTAGTTTATGAAGAGCTTTAATGTTTCAAACCACCGTATTTTACTTTCCTCGCCGATGGTTTATCAATGCCCCTATTCAGAATAAAAATCCAGAACTGTACAGTTTAATTATAAGTTCTATTGATTTAGCATAACGTTATAGATTTTTATTCTGAATACAGTTACACACTGCCTCTTTTGAGTGAATAACACAATCACCATTCAAGAGAATCAAAAGAAAATTGTCAGCTTCCTTGCGGAAGGAATCATTCTGAACTTTCTCGGACCAGTAAAACTAAACACAACAGATTTTTAAACTAAATTATAGTGCGACTTTCTGATATAGTTTTCGTCCATCTTCGAGCAACTTTTTACTGCCAGAACCACCTTAATCTATACAGTGATTCACCAAATAAAATGCATGAAAGGTATTAATACGTTTACCTGAAATGGTAAGCGTAGAGGTGAAATTATTTTCTAGTTCGTCATCATGATGTAGGCGATCTGGTCTTTTGGGGCCGAAGTTCCATTGCGCTGACTTACAGGATTTCCATTGTTTTCGTCCGTCTCCCGTCCGGAAGTATCGGTCAACATTTCCTAATCCGTAATCGTACAATGAACCAAAATCGGGCGACTTTTTATCGCGGTACTGTCGGTAACGTCATTACGAATTTTAGTAAAGTAATCGCGATCGATTTTCTTGTGGGCGCGTTTAATAATGGCGCCATCGGTTGCTTTTTTTAATCGAGATTACCCCACGTAATGACGTTTTATGCCCACGGCGCGCGCTAAAACTAATTAAATCGGGGCATTATGCGATTACAGACGTTTGTTTTGCCATTTTCAATTAATTTAATCGATTTGGATGGCAATTAACTTCATTTTGGCATGCCTTGCCATTTGCAGTGTGTACTTTGCTATTGATAATTATGGTAGAATAACATCCAGCAAGCGACACGTTATTTAAGTACATTACCAACTGATTCATGCAATATTAATGTGCATTGTTTCGTCTTTAAGTTTGCTGTAGAGAATATAATATGCCTTTATACGCTTTGCACAGCAAGCTAATTAACTAAACGTAATAATTGAGGTCCAAGATCCGCACCCCGAGCAACTCCCGATGCTCAAATGCTGTTGAAGAAATCGTCGAAAGTCAGAAGCGATGCAAAAAGTGCAACATCCTAATTTTTTTAGTTTTCTGTAAAAAAAAGCAATCGAAAAAAGAACGCAGAATGCAAACTATTAATTGGGAGATTAACAAGTTCATCAAATCATTTAATAGAATCTCAAATGGAAGTGAAATGCGTCGATTTTGTGAAAGTGTTTATGAAATTCTTGCTCGTTTACGTGGAACTATGCTGGGAATTTGAGGAAAAACGTGCATATTTTAGAGCGTGATTCCAATTAATGTCTTACGTTTTTTTGTCATCCACTTACTCCTGTGCTTAAAAATTAAGGTTTCATTTTTCGGCGATCAAAAATTATAAACGTTACCTCATGCGCATGAGATTACTTTTACGATAAGAGATCGAACTTGACTATCAGTAAAGGTATTTAAAAAATTCGGCTTTATCTAATGTAGTTTTTTTAAAAAAAAGTACTCGAACCACTCAGTCCACGTGTCTTCGAAATTTTAATCTTAGCTTCCTAGACTGCTTGTTCTCCCACTTATAATCAATCCATTGATAATATACAGTTGGCATATAATTCGACCCTTTCTGTTCGTTCGTCCATGGTTGGTAGTTTCACATTCACAAAATCAAGTTTCTTATTTGGCCAACATTGAAACATTAGTCCTGTTAGTATTAGGCTTGCTGATAAGAGGAAATCGACCCATGTAGAGCTCTAGGCATATCCGTTCTTGAATCCCCCAAAACAACCAGAAACCAGTTAGTGCTAGGTTATTGAAATTTTGAATCAATTTGATTACATTTGTTTTATAGAAATTTAGTTATTTGTGCATCGTAAAGTAGTTTTCTTGAAGTTAACGTCACGTTCATGCTTTTATATACCGATTTGTACGGACAATTCGTTGTCAATCAAAATTTGCTAGCGTGAAATCATTGGAATTATTGATTCTTATTGTATTAATTACGGTTTTAGTATATGATTTACCCTGGTGTCAGACTTTAGACATTGCTACTGTACTGCAATATTTATTTGCCGCGATATTCACTGTCCCTCTTTTTTCTTTTAGCGTTCTGTTACAGATAAGATAGAGAAACGCCCTTCTGAGCTCAAAAAGCCGTTACAACCAGAGTTCAAAGGTAATCATTTATTTTCGATGACTCCATAATATAAACGCACCTGTACTTTGCCTCAACTGACCGTGTGCTTTAT